CTCCAATGCCTGCGCTCTCCTGACCAGCGCCTTGACGTTCTCCGGCTCTACCTCGAGCACCGCGGTGGTGTCCTCGACCGTGGCGTCGAAGTTTGACAGCTGCTTGTAGCAGGCGGAGCGGTTGCTGTAGCACTTGATGGCCAGCTCGCTCCTCTTGTCCGGGAGGCTGTCGAGGCACTCGGTGTACTTCACGATCGCGTCCTGCAGATCGACGAAAAAGAACAACAAAGCAAGAGCAACCAAGAGCAATGTCAAGCAAACGCAACGCAAGCGAAGGCGGAGCGGACAGAATCATGTCGTCAGAGCCGCAGTGAACTACCCGGAACTCGGATATTGAGAAATCACGACACCAGCGCCGTTAAGCGCTATATCATGGGTCGTGGGCTCGATAGTACATACCCGGATGTGGTATGCACATGTGGGGTTACCGTTGGCGGAGGTATACCAGCGGCGCCCAAAATTTCGAAACCCACGTGCGCATCGACATACCATGCACAACGGTGGCCTTGTTCGAACGTTCATACCGTCACCCGTTCGGAAGCCGACCCAACGCACTTCACCGCTCACAACCGTACCCACCGTCGCGTGCCGTCCCTGTCTCGGACTTGACACCCTCGCCCATTGCCGTTCAAACGCGAACGCCCCTTGCACATTCACCATCGCCATCATACCCACCACCCTCACATGTCCAACGCCAAGAAACACCCGCGTCGAACAACGCCATGGTAAGCAAAAAACTTGAAAAAACTCCTCTTATCATACACAAACACACCTCGAAGGAAGCCTTCCTGTAAAAGTCGTCCCCCTTCTCCTTCAGCAGCGCCGTGGAGCTGAGGCCTGATTTCCGAGATCGTTCCGCGGCCTCGAACTTGGGCTTGGCGCGGTCTTGCACGGCCTGCAAGTCCTTGTTCCCGGCGTCCAGGCGCATACCCGCTTCGACCGCCTTCATCGCGGCACCGTAGTCTCCGGCCTTGAGCTGGGCCTCTGCCTGGGCGACAAACTGGGAAACCTGCGGTGTTCCGACGTGGCATGGACGACAATCCCGACGGGCGGGCGAGGACGGGGACGAGAATTTAGTAATCTGCACCGCTTGGCATCAGGCGTATGTCCGCCGGCTGCTGTCAAGCCTGCTGCAGTAGGGTGGGACTGACAGAATCTCGGGATAAGGCTGAAGGGGTGTGTGGCGTTAGAGGCATCAGTTGGACAGAGTGGTGCACACCCGGTAGGCCGCGAAATGCAGATAATCCGCTAGGTATTTTACTCTCACGCAGCCTAATCTAAACCGAGGGGTTCCGTGTCTACGACGTCACACTACTGCTGTGTAAAAGTTTTACCCTTACTGCATGCCAATACACTTGCGTCCTTCAAGACCTGCAGTCGCAAAATCACTTCCTCCAACCGGTTCGTCGCGTGCGTTCGCAAGCACGACGCTCAGCACCGGGTACTAGATACGGGATACCCTCTGGGGAGGGGGGAGGGGGGGATACCCTCGACAGAGAATCACCCAAGCAGGCTGTAAAGAACAAGATGTGTGCTCCCATCTTGCGCCAGTCCTTTCGGAATGAAACGACACAAACGGCCGCAGATGCAGCGGACGGGCCTATGGCAGCGGACACTTCGTTCGAAAGCAGGGTCTTCAAGGCCCTCGTAAACCAGCCAATCGGGAAAACTCGCGGCAAAATTAACAGCAAGCTCCACGGCAGTCATCAGTCCACACTCCACACGCATGTCTCGCTACCTTTTCCCCTCGGATAAGCTCGTCGATCTCCTTCAGGTTCTTCTTAAGATCGGCGTTGCGTGGCTCCACGCACAAGCCCCGCTGTCATCCAAAAACCGTGAAGCACACGAAGACCCGGTCCAATCGGCCGCGAGCAAGCCCAGATGAGGGTGTCGCACAACAGGGGAGGGCGGGAAATTGGCGTGAGAGTAGCTTACACTAAAGGCAACGAAAAGCTACTTGTCAACACATAATTTCGAACTATTTCCATGTCATTGTCGTGTCAGAGAGAGCGCGGGCGCTTCGCCGCAGCCCATCGGCACTATTGATTATGCCGTCCTGCCTGAGGGCTGAAGAAGCAAACGCTACAAGCCTACAGCTCAAGTGCCGCAACAAAACAACAGAGAACACCAAGAAAAAACGGCGTCGCCTCCAATCGTCGGTTCAACAGAGCGACGAGCAGTGCTGCTGTGACCCCCAGAGGACGGGACGAACAACTTAAGTGGTACCGACGAAAACATACCGAGGGGCGACGATGGGGGGCACGACACCTAGCCAAACGCATACGTTGGGGGGTACGGTGCGAGCCATGGTACAGCAACAGCTCCTGACGGTCGTTCTACGGCGTAAGGCAAGCAAACAGGTTCTCTCTTGCCTTGATGACGTCAGCAGCAGCGTCCAACTCGTTCAGGTTCTTCTTCGCCGTCGCCAACCGGAAGTATCCTGGGAGGGGAGAATAGAGGCGCGTTGTTGGTCTTGTCAAACGCAAAGAAAGGTCGGCAGAGGGAAGGCAGACACAGTTCACGGAATACCCGCACTCGACCCCTGACGCATCGAAGGGGCTTGGGAGGGGAAGAGACGACATGGGGTGCGGGCAAGCGAAGGGCTGATGCGTTTTACGCACCCACAAATCATACTACATAACGAGATAAACAGGCAAGGATTGGGAGAGCCCTTTGTGTGTAGCCCCGAGATGTTTTCCCATGTTTCGTGCTACACATCACCCACGAAAGAATGGTGCCAGCAACGCAATGTCATGGTGGGTTCGACTGCAGCTTTGAAATCGGCTGCACGACAAACGCCTGGAAGTTGCCCAAACAGAACACCCCCCAATACTGCCACAAACATCTCCCACAAGGCGGGGAACCAGGCTACTAGCCCGTTCCGACAACTCGTACATCTGCTTCACTGAGAGCGAGCGAAGTTGCCGGTTGTGCCAAGAAAGCAGGATATGGGCACGTTCGCGCTGACAACCCCCTCGCGGGTGTAGGCAAGTATACGAGATGAGGCCGCCCCCAACAAAGCGGTAGGTTCCCAAAAACAAGGCGTTGGCAATCCTACCCTTCCGGCACGCCCCAAACAACGGGGCCGACTGGCCACGACGCGCAAGCTAATGTCTCACCGACTGCATCACAAATTGAACAGCCCGCTTGTCGCGGAATGACGGTGAAAACAAAAGCACACATCAACCACGGAATTTGCTGTTTGGCAGACGAGTGTTCCTCCGAGTAGAAAGACAGGAAATATGCGTACCAGCAGTGTTGACAATTGATGGTGTCGCGGTGTGTATAGCGGGTCGTTCAATCCAACAGCGACAGGGAGGCGGAGCTTCATCGCCGTCCACGCAACAAACTCTCGCTGCGTACACGTTCGAAACTTGTGCCGTGGTGCCACGAGCGAGCTCGTACAACACATTCGTGCTCTCTTTTGGATGCACAGCAGCAGCGCGCACCTTTTACGAAGTTCTTGTTGACCTTGATGCATTCCGCCGCATCGTGCGCCGCCTCCTCCCACTCCATCAGTCCCGCGTAAGAAGCGCTTAAAGAGGGAAAACATTGACCCATGACGCAAATCGAAACGACAACGTTCAAGTACTAAGTTAGTGGGTGGGGTGGGCTACAGGGTGGGAGGTGCGGAGGAATCGACCACACGAAGCTCTGTCAGCCCTAGCTTCTTTTTTTTTCTACCCTACGACTGGGCTACGTCGAATATCGAATTCAGGACACAAGTTATACCGTATCTCATCCCGATCTAACAGAGAGATTTATGCCTGCCTGGTACACGCTTGGCTGCAACATAAAACTGAGGACGGAGGATCGTTTGAAAACCCGCAGGAGGGGAGGGGGCGCTCCATTTACCCGGAGACACTTAAAAACCAACAGACAGGCAGCGACCATGACGGAGCCGCTTGTCCATCAGGTCATACGCAACTGTAGCGTGCGAAAGACACGCTTCTCTAGCAGGGGCGAGGGCTACATGAATGACGAGGTGCGTGGATATCCCACGTTGCCGACAGCAATGGCGTTCGCCCGTTGTGGGAGGTGCATGGCCGCGTGTCACCCGCAAACACAGCAGCCAGTATTTCGCTGTTTTAGCAAATCAGGCTACAACAGAGTGACATTTGTTCCTGCGGCAGCGTTTGCGTCAAGATCGACAACACTCTCACGCAACACATGCACGTTGGACCCACGGCATCCTCGCCGTGGTTTCACCCATAGAGCGCGCGCCCGAGTTTCTAAAAAATGCAGAGAGAAACACAGCAAGACTGCTTTGTAGTCTACCCCTTCGAGATGGCCATGACTCGGGGTGTTGTATCATACTGGACGCATAGCACAAATGCATACTCTGTACCCAAGTCAAATCTATCCAATCGCAAAGACACGAAAGATACGTGCCGCTTTTTACAGCAGGTCCATGAACACTTGCTGTTTGCTGCACGGCGGTGACTGGAAACACATCGAGCCAGACGGGGTGTCCTTTCCGCCTGTTCTGAGACCAGACCCCACCCATACAAAGATCCCGCAAGCTATATACTGTAGATATGCACAACTGGATCACCCATATGTACACCGTCGCAAACTATCTGTGTTCTGGTGATCTGTACCTTCGGTTGGACCAGTAGGTGTGGTTGTTCGGGTCAGCAGCGATGGCGTCAGTGTACTTTGCGATCGCATTGCGGTAGTCCCCGTTCTTGAAGAACCCGTTCCCTGCGCTGCAAAGCCGGACGTCGGGAGGATAGGGACAACATGACCATCATCAAGGGGGCAAACCCAACAACATCACGCCAAGAAAGAGAAGACAAGCCGGCAGCGGAGGGAACGAAGAATGAGCAGGCGGGCGGCGCGCGGAACAGCGCGCGAGAGAAAACTGCTGGAAAAGAAGGGAGAGAGAGCGCGCGGCGGGAGGTTATTGTGTGGTGGGAAAAGATATACCACCACCACCGGGGTTGCAAACCCTCGGCACAACACGATCGCGTCGCCTACTCGTTATTATTTACCAGCCCGCATAGGCCAAGGATCATAGCTGCCCAAAGTCATTCCCTAGGTGGGGGTGGCGGTAACCACGTACTCACGCCTTGTGGGCCTCAGCCGTCGCGTTCGGCATATTTGCTCCTTTCTTCTGTGGAAGATTAACCGTCCGGGTGCTGCTTCGCACTGGTGTGCGTGCTCGTAGAACGCAGGTCAGATTCCCAACGTCTCCGTGAATTGCAAGAGATTGGCGGTGGCTGTTGATTCTCAGGGACTCGTGGGAGAGGGCGTGGAAGCTTGCTTGATGCACAGACGTGGATGGTGAGAGGAGATTTGATTTTGCTTGCTTGGTTTTTTCTCGAACAATCCAAAGCTCGGGGGGATACGCGTGATCCACCCCCCCCTTCCAATTATTTATCTCACTTGTTGTGCCCCCCCCGCCGCGAAATGGATCGCGCACGCCACGCGTCATCACAGCTGTTCGGCGCGTGTTCCGGGTCTAATTTATCATTGCGGCAGATGTGTAGCAACGAGGTCTTTCACAATGATATATGTCTTTGCGCCTCGATACTGACCTTCGTGCTAATACACTGCCGTGGGTTGCATGAGATACAACCACACCCGCTCGGTACTTTCGAATTTTCGAATTTTCGAATTTTCAAACAAAGCTCTGGTCTCGCGATGTACCAGTACTCTGTACAGTAGCAGACGAGGATCCTTCTGCCCTTATCGAATGGTGCATGTACGTTCTCAAAGCTTTCGATGTGAACGGCTCCAACGTCTCCGTTCGGCGCCGTCGCTGCTTTTGGTGCAGAGTATATACAAGCTTTGAAAATCGATCCAGCGGGAGCGTGGTATCTTATGCAACCCACGGGCCGTGGGTATATCTTCTGCCAAAATAGAGGTTCCCTCGATAGATCCACCCTTCCTTGGAAACCGAGAGGAACATCAACTACGAGCACATTTCTTTGAAGAGAGCACATCAAGCCACGGAGAGCCTTGTCCGCAATTGATTGATCCGTAGCAAGTTCTTGCAGTTGACGGCCCTGAACGTGCAGGCAGGAAAGCCCAGGGCTGGAATGAAGTTCACTCCGTCCCTACATCATATCTTCTCACCTACCCCGCGACGCAAAACATCAAGCAAGCGGAGTCAGGGGCACTATTGTTGGTGAGCCCACAACGGGCTGCACAGCGGCTAAGGATAACGATGGCGATGGACCAACTGAGATGCGTTGGGGACAGAATCCAAGGTGGTTGTGCGCGTAAAAGTCAGATTTGAAGTATCGAATTTACCTAATGCGTGGTATGAGAGATACGCGAGCCTCCACAACAAATAAGTTCCGGCGAACGACCGAGACACAATTTTTGCCCCAACATCAAACCATCCAATCTGACCGTCGCTCGCAGGTACAGACTTACTTTCCCTGTGCAGTTGCGACCCGGCTTCACACAAAAAAATTCCTTTCTGCGATGCATGCCTGGGTTTGTCCGCGACAAGGACTCAAAGAGCATCCATTCCTGTCAGTTGTGTGTTGTTGTTGTCTTCACACTAAAAACCGTTCCGATTTCTGTACCCAGTACCTTCATCTGTCCGTACTGATCTAACACTTGACGTGGTCGATTCCCGTGGTCATAGGCTAACCTACCTTAAAGAAGGTAAACTCAAATGATATGGACCCGAAGGTAGTCGAACACAAAGACGGGAGTGAGTCTTGTTGTGCACTCACACAGACACAAGAGCTTTTATAACCAGTCCCACGTCCAAAGGTTGCGAGGATACCACAGATCACGGGGGCGACCCCATGGACGCAGCTGTGAACCCTGGACATGTTCGTAAAAATGACGAGCTATCAAATAATCGCCAACCGCACCGCTTCGCCTTCAGGTGATAGCGTTCTCTCCCATCACGCTGAGCGATCAACACCAGGCAAGACTCCCTTGACGACAACAACAACACGATGCTCCACCTACTACCAAACGCCAAACCAAAGCGCCTGTATTCAGCACGATGCCCACGCCCCGGGAATGCCATTCTTCTTGTACACGCAGGCCTGGACGAACGTTCCAAAAATGTCGGAAAACATCACCCCGAACGAGTCCCCCACGGAAGCCGCCGCTAGAGCGAGCTCCTTCAGCTCGGGGGGCACCGCCTCCGCCACTAATCTGAAGGCGTTGACGTACCCCAGCCCTCCCACGAGCCCCACCCCGAAGCACAGGAACAGGAGACCGTACCCGTACCAGAACTTCTCCACGGCGACGAGGTAAAAGAAGAGCAGCATCAACACCTGCGTCAGGAAAAGGACAGCAGCAGTGGGGTACATAGAACGAAGGGTACGAATGAGAGCATTGACACCGCCTTCGGGGTTCCAAATGACAGACCCCAGATTCACGGACGACAGAGCTCCTGACAGAGTGCGACCACCACCACCCTTTGCTAAAAGCATATGGTATCTCAACACAGGTGTACATGGTAAGGTCTGACACCTAGTTGCTTCTTCCATTCACACCTTTTACACGAGTAACCCGTCATTCGGTCGCGACCTGTCTGCCCCAACCTGCTCCCCCTTCTCAAAGAAGATCGACAACAAACAACCAAAAATCCTGTGTGTCTGTCTACCCGCCGTACTGATCTCCATCTGCAAAAAAAAACAAAACAGCAAAATCAGCCAGCCAAGTCTTTATATACCTGAGCCGCCGGTAGGGACCACAGCATCAGCGGCGAGAGGCGGACCAACATCCCCGACGAGCGAGACACGAAGACGCCCCCCTGGTAGCACCAGTTGGCGTACTCGTAGAACCGCTCCCGGGCGGCCATCGAAGAGACCGGAAACCCGATGGCGCTCCACGTGCCCGTTTGCATCGTGTACTATATAAGTGTTTGGTAATTGTCGCGGGCGCGCGCGTGTGTGTGCGGGAAAAAATGTGTCGTTCGGTTGTTTGTTGGGGTTGCGGCAGGGGAAGGCGGGATAATATATGAGGGTATGGTAAGGGGCGTGCTGAGTGAGGAGACAAGTCGGTAGATTTGAGGTATCGCAAGCGTCTTGCTCGACTCCGAGGCTGGGTGAACATGCTGCTGAAAACACGTGGAAATTTGTGCATAAGCGCAAGGTTTTGACGTGCGGTCGACTGCGTCAAAGCCACATGACCGCAGCGTAAAAACTGGTAGTCGTTTAACAACTTCGTTTTCGTCAAAAAAAAGTGGACGCTACATCGATAATGTGCAAAACATTAATAACATCATACACATTGCAAAACACAAATAGAAGGAGACAAGCAGAGAATCATTGCTCGCATGCTGTGGTGTACAAGGTCAGCGGAACGCCCCCAGGTGAAGCAGGTTACTATCTGCGCCGACTAACAACCATGCAAACACGAGCGAATAATGCCTCAAATGAACCAATGACCTTCATGTATCGCCCTCACCTCTGCAAAATAAACAAGCATCAGAGGCACCGTGAAGCGCCAGAGGGAGATGGTGAAACACATCCGCTGTCCCACCGTCATCTCTGGCGCACGAACCGACCCGGTCGGCACCAGTTCCACGTCCAACGCCCCCCCACCCCTTCCCTCTCCCAACCCCCATCCCCCATCTTCGTCCCTGCCTCCTTGTTCGCTGTTGCTGGAGAACAACTCCGCGCCCCTCCCACCGCTTGGACCGTTAAGCGACGGGCTGGGCGAGGGTGATCGCTGCGAGGATGGAATCGGCGAGTAAGTACCAGGAGCAGCAGCCCTGTTGCCTCCGCGCGTCTGTAAGCTGCTGCTACCGTTCCGAAGCGTGCCGCTGCGTGGAGCGGACAGGAGCTTGAAGTAGGCGTACAAAAACACCAAGCCCAAAAGGTTGGCCATCATGAGCGTGGCGCGGAACGAAAGCCCGAGAACGAACGTCAAGGCGAAGACCCAGGCGTAGCCGAAGATTCCCGCGAAACCGGTGCCGCTCGACCAGGCCGTCAAGGCCCGCGGCGTGTCGTAGAAGGACGCAAGCGCGAGGAAGGACGACTCGCCTAGACCCGCCTGGAGGGACGAAAAGCAGACCCCTAGCAGCTGGACCCTTGTGGATCCCCCGTACCCGACCGTGACCAGTGACAGCACCAGCAGCATGGTGCACGCCCACACTCGCGCGCTGTACGGCACGAGGTGAAACCTGGTACAAGTACATGCACGTTCGTTGGCGTCAGGCTTCTCCAGGCTCTAGTGAAGGCTAGGAACGGGAGGCACGCAAGTGGCGGGGCTACTGCCGAGCAGTACGGCGAGCGGGATGCACCTTGTCGGCTAGGAAAGAGGTAAGATGGGGAGATTTCTTTCGTGGTACACACAGCAGTGCAGAGAAATACCGGAGTAGATGGCATTCAAGGCGCGCGTAACGGCAAGATGCTTTGCGTTTGATGCGGTATGGGAGAAAGAACAAAGTAAATATTCGGCGTTTGCCTTCCTCCTGTGTGACCCCGGCTGGTGCGTGAAGCTTTTACCGAAATATTTATACCGGTGTCCAGCATAGATGGGACGAACACATGAAGACAACACTGCTATGGGTACAAAACATCATCTATACCTGGCACCCACAGAAATGCAGAGAAATTCCCCTTGACACAATGGACCGAACTATAAGTACTATCCCCGCGCTGGACACTGTGACAAACAGCAACATTGCGAGATGGACCATACCGAGGGAGTCGTGTAGAGCTTGTAGGGACGACGTGCGTAGTAGGAAACTAAAATAAAACGCTGCAGGTTAGCACCTTTGTGTGTGGTGTGTGGTGACTCGTAGCATGCAGGTTTACTGTGGTACGAAGTAGGCTCGTTTCAGGGGCTGTTTGGACCTTATCCCCGCTTTCTCGTGTGTTGGCGTTAAGATGCGGCGTAATTAGCTATTCTCCGAGATGACGTATGTATGTGTTCGCATGAAGTTGGCTCTGAGTCGACCCCACGAGTTCAGAGAAGAGAGAGCTCCCGGGCAAGGGTAAAGGTCAAGTGGGCATGTGTTGAGTACCAGTTCGGTTGCAGAGATCTAGGCGGAGCTTGAGTTTGGCATGTGTGAGCGGGGATAGGTTAACAGCAACAGCAGTGTTGGTATGCATGCAGCTGGGTTGAGTGCAGCAGCCGCCGAGAGACGAATCAACAACAAGTTTCCCTCAACAGCTATCTGTCCGTTCCCTTCCTCGACGACACATCCGTAAAGTCTATCAAGCATCCATAAGAGACAAGAACCTCGAACCTAGCGCAAAACCCTGGTAGTGCAGAGCCGCACTGCTCTGCATTTGATTGGGTAATTGGGTCATCAACAGAACCCGAAGACCAAGTATCACATTGATTGGATAGTCCAAGTATCACATTGGGCGTGTCGGCGGCTTGTTTCTTCCCTGGGTGCGAGATCCGTTGCGTTGTTGGTTGTTTTCGGCTTTTGGTTTGAAGTACCGCTGTACCTGGTAGTCTCTTGCGTCTGCGTCATGGCCATGTGTACTCGAAATTCGGTTGTTTCCGGCTGTGCGACTTGTCGCGTGCCAGTCTCTCGTTCTGGTAGGCCCTTTTCCTTGGGCACGCCCATTGCCCGTCTCTCTCCTCCCTCTCCTACCGAATCTCCTGGGATTGGCCCGTCCGGGTCGTCACGGGGGATTCACCCATCTTGCCGGTTGCAGTACGACTCTTCGCCACGTGCGTCGTCTCCACGCGTCACCCCGCTGCTGCACAGCTCGGTGCTGTCGCCGCAGCCCGTCCTGCTGCCATGCGCGGTGCTCGCGAGGAGATTGATACCGCCCTCTCCATACGAGGACGTGTATCCGCTGGCGTTCGGGCCGTTCCGCGATCCGATACCGAGATGGTAGGTGAGACACCCTTCTTGCTCTGGGAAATAGGACGTCGACACCAAGAGTTTCCGCCTCTTGGTGACGGAATCGTCGGAACCTTGCAGTGGTGGGGGCGGGCGGAAACCGTCGCTACCGCCGTCCGACGCGTCTGGTGATTTCCGACCTTTCTAGTGCTGAGAGGGGCGGAGAACCGTCCACTGTAGTTCTCGACCTACTTTGTCGGACAGTAGTAAAACACCGGCGAAAGCTACCAGTTTGTGTAGCTCCGAAACCCGAGCCGACTCCGAAACCCGAGCCGACTCCGAAACCCGAGCCGACTCCGAGTCCGACAGACCGAGTGCACAGTACGAGGTTGAGTGTAATTAGCTTAGCCGAACAGGTCTTGTGTCCTGGAGTCGTAGGCGATAGAGACGAGGGAGCTGTCCGCTTGATCCGTGGAATCCCAGCTTGCCCTCCTACGAAGAATTCTGCGGCTCAAAACCGGCCTGAACACCGATCCGAAACCGAACTCCGATCCGAACGTAGTATAGACAAACACGGGAAGCGGGGTGCCACGAGAAAACCGGCGTTAGAGCCAGCGCCGGCGGTTGTGAGCCCATCTCCCCGGGGTAGTTACTGCGGAGCGAGCGGCCACCGCGTTGACGAGGCTTCCAGTGATTGCCGCAATACCCACTAATCGGTTGGGCGACAACGGAGTAGAAGAAGAGAAGAGTTGTTCCCCGCCGTCGGCTTCCCCGTTGGCCGATCTTGTAGATAGTGAAGCAGGCATCGCCACACCAGCGGCCGTGTCTACATCTAGTACACCGGCATCGCTATCCGCCCGCCCCATTCTATCCGATCGGGCGAGTATACATCTAATCTCATCCGCAGGGGCGGTACGAAAAAAATAACAACGATGGCCGAACAAAGAAACACAAGAAAACAAAAACAAAATCCGTGGTGGGCCCAGCCACTTCCAGTTATTGATGGCCAAGGTGTGTGAGGGGTTGGAGCGTGTGCAGTTGTATCTGGATGATATCGTGGTGCACTCAAAATTTGCAGCAGAGCATGTAGTGCATTTCGAGTAATTGTTGGAACGGTTGCGCATCCCCAATCTGAAACTCGCTCCCAAGCAAGCGAAAGTGGGTGCCGCCGACGTGGAAATTTTGGGGTATTTCATCACACTAACTGGCCTCGCGCCTGGGTGTGGTAAGGCTGCGGCGATGAGCTTGTGCCTATGAATAAGAACCAGCTGCGTTCCCTGTTGGGCAGTTTTTCGTATCTCCGCAAGTTTATTCCTAACTTGGCCACTCGAGTGCGGGGTCTCAACGAGATGCTAAGAAAGAGACAAGGAATTTCGGTTTACGACTCAACACGAAGAAACCACTAGAGCGATTCCCAAACAGTTGATGAGCACGACAGCGTTGGCGTTCCCCGACTATGAGGATGAATCGGGGCCGAACCGCCTCATAGAGGGTGACCTAGAAGTGTACTTTGTGGGTGCTGCAAATTGCCTGTCCCCTCTCTTGGACTTGCAATTGCCGCCTTGCTCCCACGAGGATTTGGGGTCGTTTATGGAGCCCGTAGATCCGTTGACCACCGCTGAGGTCGCGCAGAACCAGTGGAATCTGGCTGTCCGATCCCGTCAACGCGGCGTCAGTACCGTCAGGTATCAGGCGCCGCGGGTCCTCGCTATTAACCCGTCTCCCGCCCCTAGTTCCGCTCCCGTTTCCCATCGTATTTTCAGTGGTCAGTTTCAATCAGGTGTTCTGCTGCACGCGTGCTCGGCAGCTCCGGCTACGCCGGTGCTGCCGGTCTCCACCCGCTCCGCGGGGTCGTGCCTCGGGCAGCTCGTGTCCGAGCGAACCGTCGTCCTTCCTGGAAGATTCGAAAACGGGCGGGGGTACCTAAGCCCGCCGCTGCCACCGCTGTGCCTGCTAGCGGCGGTGCTTCGGCCGCATGACCGGCGCGTCGTGCCACCGCCCGGGGTCCGACACCGCCGTCCCGGACGGGCCCACGGAGGACACACCGGCTCCTAGCGTGCTAGCGGGGCCGGTCGCCGTCACCGGCGCCCGAGAACGCCCCACAGCCGACCCCGTGGTGGTCGGGGCGCGCTTTGGAGGAGGTTGCGTCGCGGTGGTCGGGGAGCGCTGTGGAGGAGAGCGCTGTGGAGGAGGGCTTTTCATGGTGGTGGCGAGGGCGAGACCGCAAGTCGAGGATTTTTCAGGGTGAAGGCGGAGAGCACTTCGGAGGCTGGCGGATTGTTTTTTTTCGCGACGGGAGGAGAAAGCGAGACGAACAACATCGCCACATTTTTTTTTTTTTTCTGTTTCTGCGTGATGTGTGTTCCGGATTTTTTGTCTTTGGTGTTGCCTTCTGATGCCGATGATGTTTTTTTTTCCGGTGTGGTGTGTCGGTTGTTGTTGTTTGACTCTGGTGTCTTGGTAGCGACGTGCCGTCCTTTTTCGGGAGGATGGGGGGGAGAGGTACAGGCCATTCAAAAATAGCCTGTGTTCGGTAGAAACTGCGTTTTTACTGGAAACATTGGTGGGCTGTCCCGCCTCGAGGGGTTCTGGTCAAATGTTGGTTTGTTGGTACCGTGGTCAATGCGGGTGCGAATGTCCGTAAGTGTTTGCGTTCTCAAAGGGAAGGTCGGTGCGATTTAAATCTAGGATAGGGGGTCAATGTCCCGTTGTGGTTCCACCGATGTCGGGCAGGAAGATTTGAAGCTCTTTTTCAACGCGATGATATCGTTCTCACGGTGTTCATTCTTCGGTGAACTTTGGAGTCCCAGGGTAGGCAATACAGCAAGGTTCGTTGGCTTTTATTTTCCCCGAAGACCGCCCAAGGTCTGCTCTCCTGTAATATTCCGCAAGGAAGCTGAAGCTGAAAATGTGCTGTGTCTTTGTCAAAGTGCTGTTGTCCTTGTCAAGTGCTGTGTCTATGTTTGTCCTTGTCAATGTGCTGTGTATATGTGAAAAATTCAGCTTCAGCTTCAACCTTGCGTTGGGAGAGTGCGCGTATATCAGACACGCGTGGGGAGAAAATTGGTCAAAGGATCGTTGATGTATGTGTCTCGGGTGGATTTCATAGCTTCATAAAGCTGGGGTGTGATCACAAAATAACATGAAGCGATTGATTTAGTTGTTGGGAGTCCTCTTGGGGGTCGGTGTGCACCGTCGGGTAGCGCCAATTTCAACAGTCCAATGTCCGATTGAGGGGGGGTCACAGGGGTTCGTTGCCGCCTTTCTGAGGGGTGAGTACGGCGTCTTTCTTACCGGGGACATGCTTTCTTTCAGTAGCATTCATAGTGATCAGGTATTAACAAGTGAGGTTAAAGGTTGTTGGACCGGGATTTTTGGGGGTTGGTGCCGGTTGTCGTTTCCAAAACACGGCAGCGCGGCACGGGGTAAAATGGATTCTTGACGGCAGACGGTAGGATGATGAAGAATTTTCTTGGAATTCGTGTATGGTAGTTTGTGTGGGGGTACTTGGGCCCAAGGGGATGGAATGCTGAGGGTTTGGGTCGGGAGTGTAAACGAGTTCCCGCTTAGAATGGAGCGAATTCCATGGGGTTTTGAATATTGCTGTCTTGCCACGGCGGTCGAGACGGATAAATGTTGACGTTAGGAATTTTGTTGAACATTTAGCGCTGATGCAAGCGAGACTATACTAGTCTCAGTATGGAAATAGTACTGGACGCCGGTTTCTCGTGGGGAATTCACTATGTTTTGGATTGCTTTTTGGAGATATAGAATATTTCCCAATATGCCAAAAAGCAGTGTGGGGGAATGTGGTACGAAGTAGGCTCGTTTCAGGGGCTGTTTGGACCTTATCCCCGCTTTCTCGTGTGTTGGCGTTAAGATGCGGCGTAATTAGCTATTCTCCGAGATGACGTATGTATGTGTTCGCATGAAGTTGGCTCTGAGTCGACCCCACGAGTTCAGAGAAGAGAGAGCTCCCGGGCAAGGGTAAAGGTCAAGTGGGCATGTGTTGAGTACCAGTTCGGTTGCAGAGATCTAGGCGGAGCTTGAGTTTGGCATGTGTGAGCGGGGATAGGTTAACAGCAACAGCAGTGTTGGTATGCATGCAGCTGGGTTGAGTGCAGCAGCCGCCGAGAGACGAATCAACAACAAGTTTCCCTCAACAGCTATCTGTCCGTTCCCTTCCTCGACGACACATCCGTAAAGTCTATCAAGCATCCATAAGAGACAAGAACCTCGAACCTAGCGCAAAACCCTGGTAGTGCAGAGCCGCACTGCTCTGCATTTGATTGGGTAATTGGGTCATCAACAGAACCCGAAGACCAAGTATCACATTGATTGGATAGTCCAAGTATCACATTACTGCTGTATGGATGTGGTGGGTCCCAGGTACAGTAGTAGTCTACAGAAGAAGAGGTTGGCTGTTACAGCAGTTCAAGTACTACAGCAGTCTCCGCAGTGGTGTTGATTGTATTCGTGTGCAGGTTGGAGGGTATGCAAAACTCACCAATATGGCGCCGTCACCTTGATGACCATCGTCGGGGCAACATCGGCGAAGAACACTACCCCGACCGCGTCTGGAGCAATTTCCTTGGCGACCGCCATCATGATCACATAAGACGAGTTGTTGATCAGCCCCAAGAGCCAGAATGCGGCGTCATTCCGAAGCCTTGTCCTTCGCCGCCTCCGTGCTTCGATAGCATTCTCGTCGCCGCGATGGTGGACTAGGAGAGCCGCACCAATGCTTTCCTTTCTGTCCGTGAACGGAGGAATGCCCGTAGTGTTGTTGTTGTCGTCGTCGTCGTTGTTGTTCGTCTGTTCACGAGGGGCGCCGCGTTGGGTCATCGGCCAGCTCTGCAGGCCTGTTGTAATCTCGCCGCGTCGAAAGTTCCTTCAACTTTTCCCAAGTGCTGCGCTCGAAGCGTGCGCTGAAGTATTTCGTGCTGTTAACCACGCTCGACCACGTGCAGCAACGGCTGGTGTTCAAATTTGTAGGCACGCGCAACGTGGTGACACCAAACTTCAGAGCCAACGGCGGTGGGTTTGATGGGTTGCAAGTTGCAAGGTCAAAGGTTGGTTGTGGAAGTGATCGTGAGTGATCGTTTGGGGGGCCTGTTTTACGATTCACGGAACCCCCACGACGAGGAGCCCAAAGATGTGCCGAGTTGTGTATAGGTACACCTCGCACATCTTGACATGGTTGCGGCAGGCAGTGTGTGGACGTGCGGACAAGCCAAGCTGCGGATATAGATGAAACCCATAGAGCATGAATCTTCGTCCCAAGGTGTGGAGGTTTTGGGCGTCGTCGCCCCAGAACGGTAACACACACATGAGAGCGGCCGGGTTACGCCTCTAGACCAAAGATATTCCCGCAGAGATCTGACATTTTCAGAAGATCTTTTCACAACTCACCACCAGGACCAGGCCGTACACAAGTAAGTACAACATTCCTGAGATGTGTTAGCTTGCAAATGAGGGCCAATTAGAAATAGGATGGTTTCCCACAGTATGTCACTGCACCCGCTTCCACGGCAGGCAGACGATCATGTCAAAGAAAGCGCGATATCCTCCTCGTTCACCCTTCCGCAGTTCGCCCTGCCGCAGTGCCTGGATTTGAACCAAGCCCGGCAGCCACCGAATACCACGACATCGGACAGCCCATGGGTGATCAAGTCAAAGCTGGTATCGCTCCAGACGAGCTCCTGTTTCTACCTACCAGTGCCAGGTGCTATATTTATATATTTACGAGCACTGCACTCTACAGCGTCCTTCTTCTGTTCTGTTATTCATCGGCCAGCAGCAGAACAAGCTGAGAGGCTCTCGCGGATTTCCATTTGTTCTTTCGTCGCATGAATCCCGCTTTACGCTATGTTCTCTTGCACGATGCCGTTGTTTGTCCGTGCATTGAATCGGTAATGCATCGGCTACATGCCTATCTATGCGACTAGACTACCGTATATGACACAAGATAACACACCCCCTGGACCGATTTTCAAAGCTCGATTACTCCACGACGAAGAGGATGCATAAATGAAACAATACGTTTTCGAACAGCTCTCGACGAGACGGTTCCAACGCCGCCGTTTTCGGCGCTGTGACTCTTCCTGCTGTTGAGAAATCGAGCTTTGAAAATCGGCCAAGGGGTGTGTTATCTTGTGTCATATACGGTATGCAATTATGTACCCAATCACTTGGGTAGCAGCTGCAAGATATGTGCATGGTGTACTGCCTGTGCTACAAGAGAAAGAACACCGTTCGAACCGCTGAGTCGAAGCAGCGTCTTGCACACCAGTAGCGGCATCCATTTCCTCCATTGCAAACGAAAACGGCAAACCGATGGAACCACGAACAATTGTCCTTGCTACGTCGATACGCACGTGATACAGAGGCGTATCAATTCCCAACCCGAGGCGGGACGATCTTTTCTCGGCCTTACGCCGGCGACAAGACATGGTGTCTGGGCGGGATAAACGCAGGCGCCGCCGAGTGAGTCGGTGTCTTCTCCGTCATTGTAGCTTCAGATTGTGCCCTCACGACCGAGTAGTATTCTTATCAACAAGCTAGCGAAAAAACACAGCAGAGGGAGTCGCTGGCACGTACAAACGATTGATTGAATGCCGGCACTATATTCTGCAGAGTAGCTTGCGAGCCTGTGACCAGGTTTAAGTTCAATGAAGACTATCCAGCAGTAGGCTGCCCGAATACTCTGGGCAACTCGCTCGACCCTTGCACGCATGACAGGTGACCGAAAGTCGACGGAGCGAGGAGGTGCTCGCCGGGATGTTCTTCCGCACTGATCGGGACTCCCGCGCCTGTCAAGCCGGCCATCAACAGCTCAATACAAGCGGCTGTCTTGCCCTCTTGCGTGTTGGCGGTCCAACACCTGCCGTTCAGCACCTTCGTTCGTCTCCGGAGATTGGATTTGGACAGGCACTGGGTTTGAATGGGGATGACAGAAGTGAACTGGAATCAGGTGGACACTGTAGACACCGAACAAAGACGGGCCAAAGGAGGGGGTGGGTTGTATTTAGCGCAGTGTTGAGAGAAGCGAGGATAGGGATGCATCACTTCCCCCGCCAAGAAAAACAATTGTACAACTTCTGTTTTTTTTTTTTTTTTTTTTTTTTTTTTTTGTTCTTCACTTCAAATCAGCGCTCACAGCACTAGTGCCGTTTATTCCGACCCGTGGTCACACAGAAGAGTCCCTATCTACCCTCCCCTCTTGCGGTACTTTGCCTACGATTTTTAATGCGAGAAGAGTTCAGCACTCTCTTCCCTCTGTGTACACACGAACTAGCGCTATCCACTCGGCCAGGAGCGGAGGCGAGAGAAAAACTCACTTTGCAAGAAAAGCTCGCTTACGCCGGGATTCGAACCCCTGACCTGACCTCTAGAAGGTTTCGAGGTTACCAACTAGACCACCGGTTACAGGGTAGCGAGGGTCACAACCCGGGCCCGGAGTGTCGCGCGTGCCAAAGTGGGAAACATCGTGTTGGGAATCCCACCATCGGTTGGTGTGCTCGGATGTGTCTTTGCCCTCATCGTACGCGGAGTAGAGGTACATGGCCGAGCTGGCTGTTTCGGTCGCTCCCCAGTACGCTGCATGACGTTGCTTCATGTGATACTTCTGCTCTGACGAGCCCCTTCCATCTGCCCTACCTTAGGCATTTCAGAATGGGGTTCCGGCGACGACAGCGATACAGCTGCGTTCGAGGCGCTTCTACAGAGAGAGGCTCGAGCTACACGGAGGCATCACGACCGGAGTGCCAGTCTTTCTTCGTCCCCCGCCTCTTCGCCGTTGGCCCGCTGCTCACTCGGCGATACACCACGGGCTTCTCTTCAACCCAAAAACAAACGATGTCCTGTGTCGGCTGTTCGAAGGTGAGCGGGCCAGCCGTGAAGAACCGCACAATAACCGGGGACCATCCACAGCGGCCGAATTTGTTGCCGTTCCTGCTCAATACCGAGAGCCATACGTGGTTGCATTCGCCTTCTGCACTTACCGAGAAATCCTTTCTCCCCAACACTTTCCACATGTTTGCGTGCACACGTTTCCACGACTCTCGAGCACGCCCCCCAAAGCGAGGCTTGCCGAGACCAGCACAGAGCCTAAAGCTCGTCCGGCGTTGGAATCCCAGAACTCTACACCAGTGGCCATCCCCGAACAAATACCTACACCATTGACCCTCCCAAAGGAGGTTGCGCTGGAAGACCCGATGCCCGAGACGCCTCCGGCTCGGGTTGACCCATCGACCGACACGCAAGAATACCAGCAGCGCGCCGCGGCCACACCGAGGTGCGGCCGTAGCAATGATCGTTGGCTGACTTCAAAATGGCGGGTGGCGTATGAGTTTTTCTCATCAGATATGCCTATGTCGCGGTTTCGTCGGAGCAGGAAGGCCAGATCGATTTGGTGGTGGTAGTCCTGGTCATGGCATTCTCGTGCAGGCATTGTCGTCATCGACAGTTCTACAGGGAACTACTGTGGCGATGTTTCCTTGGCTTTTCGCGATGAACGATGTTTGTTTTGTCGTAGTAGAGGTCTTACGCTGAGTTCTGCTTCTTGTTGCGGCACCCAACCCTTTCACAGAAAAAAAACCGGCAACACCGAGACACGGAGCGAGGGGGTACAATGCAGCGGCCCTCCGGTCGACCAGGGAGTACAGGTGGGGTTGAAGCCAAGTTCACGGATAGTTTCTGGGATGTCTTCATGTGTCGAAGTGTTCTTCTGGTCTTGCTCCAACAGTCTATGCACGCGTACCCTCTGAGTTCTTCGTACCAGTTTCGCTCCCGGTCAAACTTTCGTCTGCCGGATGTTGTGTAGACAGGACCATGATAAACTTCACATCCTCTAACGTCCCGAACAAAACCATTTCGAGGGCATCATGGCCAATACGCCCTTTTGGGCTCCTCCAACCGCATCCAACATAAAAGTCCGAAAACAGAATCCAGATACGCTCTCCAATTAATTCCAGAATATGCATTCTGCGGGTGTGTCTCGCGGTGAGGAATCTAGACCCGGCCTGCTCAACACCACTCTTTGCCAGCACACACCCAACTCCAACCCCGCGCCCGACTCCCAGACTTCGGCGCTCAGGCTACCGAGGAAAAGCGGTGCCTCGACACACCGCACCATTCACCCGAGGCCACTCTCCCCTACCAAGAGTTCCGTCATGAGCTCGCCAGAGGCTCAAGTCAACCAATATGGCGAAGAGACCTACAGAGAAAAGGCTTCCCGTGGTTTGAGCACGCCCGCAGGGGGGGCACACGAGCCTGCGCGGGTAGGGATAGCGCTAGAAAGGGAAGCACACATACACGTTAGAGTAGGCCTTGAGGGAGTGCGCGACGCGGACCGAGGACAACAAAGGGCGATCTGGAGTGTCGCTAACGGAGGAGACCCCGGTGGTGAGCAAACTTCGATATGCAATCGTTTCATACACAGGCCGCGTCCCCCCCGCGTGTTAACATCGGCATCGAAAAAGAGTCTAAGTCGTTGAAGCACGCACAGAACTTTGCGGCATTTTGCCTTGTGACTTGTATTCGCCGTTTCAGAGCATTCAGGCAATGGGGGAAAAGAGTTTTGAGGTTTCGTTGCTCCGGCACCTCGGCTATTCGAGAAAGTAGACAATACCAACAACCAATGCCACCAAATCACCCAACAAACAACCACAAACTAATACGTCGGCCTGCGTTGTTTTTCTGGGGTGGAGCGCGAGTCGTGCAACCCTTCACCCCGTCTCTGACGTCCCCAAATGTGCACACTCTGTTCTCGCAGCGCCTGGACCCGTGATGATGCTTCCCCTAGAGTTAGGCCACGATCGGCGGAACGATGCATCCAATCGAACCGTGAGGCGGTTTCTGAAGGTTATCGACTTTACGGAGAAGCCCCACGAGGTTGGTGACAGAGACACAGTCGCGTCAATTCCGCAGGTGAGCTTGTCTTGCCACTGGGTCATAGAGGCAACCAGGCAAGTTTGGTGGAGTATTGGGCGGCCGACCAGAATGTGTAAAGTCCTGCCGACGATGCCAAGTGTGCAAAGGTATGCACGCGTGATCCAATCTGGAAGACTCGTGAAGAACAACTCACTTGCTATTAATAACGCGTGCAGAACAGCATTTGTTGCTGTTGCCTTGGGTAAGGTAGAGGACTGACAACAACGGGGGCTAATTAGATCCTGACCCCTGTTTTATCATTTCGCGGGGAGTATACATCTCCCCGCATCTTCTAGAAGGAATCATTCTCTTCTATGTTCCGCCTACACATGCATCTACAGTAAATACTATAACAAATGGTCGGATACGCGAGTGAGTTTGTTTCCTTTTACAGTCAAAACTGCAGCACGGGTGAATTGGCCATAGTTTTAGTAGGTCCCACACACAACAACAGAACAACTAACAATCCCACAGGCGGTGCTCACGTATTGATGTACGCTGCTGTGACAACAGCACCCGCGCACATCCATGATTTCGAAACCGTGTTGACGCGGAGAAAAACCCTAACCCCTCTTCAACAACCCCTCCTACGCTATGCCGTGCTTCATTGTCGTCAGTCCGAGCACACTACGTCGCCAGTACATGTTCAGGGGGACGTGGACAACGGTGTAGTTGATCCCATACTCATGGATCACCGCGATAGCAGAGATAAATCGGAGAGGCGGGGGCAGGGGCGCACGGGACGTTTGGATCCCTTATGGGAGAGTCTTGGGTCGTTGGGCGAGCGATTGGCTGTGGTGGGCGGCCGTTTCGACCAGCTCGATCAGGAAATTTGTCACGATCGAGAGGTAAGCTCTACCCACCAGTTTCCACCGTTCGGTGAATCATGTTGGAAATAATCGAGGTCTTGGAAAACATTCTCAGCTCGTCGGGAAAGGATTTTGTAGTTAACTTATTCAGCAATCGAAACCTCCTTCGACAATCACGCTGGTTCGAGCCAACTAAATACGAGTGGAAATAGGGCGTTGCTCGCCCGATCCTTCCTGAATCCTGTCATGGTGCTCTGGCTATCGCGGTTGTACTTTCGCCCACCCACACGTGGGTGATACTCCGCTTTGTGGTATAGGTGATCGAAGGCTATCAGAGAGAAGCTCAGGAAGAAGCGGAACTTGCCGCGAGAGACCTATTGGACATCCGGACACGAAGATCGTTGCCCCCCAGCCGTACTACAGGCTACATACCTCAGGTGAAACCGCCTCACACACTTTTCGTGGGGTACGACTGACTAAGACACTTTTCGTGGGGTACGACTGCGGGGTTGGATGCAACGAACGCGCGAAACTTCGGCCGGACAAATCAGTAGGTCGTTTGACAACAGTGGAGTAGCGTTGGCTGACGCAAGAAGCAAATACGTAGCACCGTCGCAGGTACCACACGGATATCTCGCGAGAAAAAACAGTTAATGATTAAGACTTCAACTCGGAGTCCACGTTCCGAGCCCAGATCCATGTCAAGTAGGTAAGTATTATAACATTGAATCCACTGTAGGGGGGAAACCGAATGCGTTTGGTCTGTTACCAACAACAGGTTCCTCTGTGGAGGTCTCGGACGGGCGCTACAGACCTTGCCCTGGACACTAACTCCTTGCAGATAGAAACAACATCGCGCTCGACCAAACAGAGCCCGCTCTCCTCCTTTGGCTTCAAGAGCTGCGGTAGCGACGACGGTGGCAAAAACGACTTCGGTTCTGAGGATGCCACCCTCGAGGCCCACCGAGAGCTCCGTGAAGCCAGGTGAGCAGGCGCTAATAGTGTTGCATGAAGGATCCGCAGCGATAAAATCTACTTGTCTGTTCCCCAGGGAAAGCGCACACGGACATAGTATCTGTCGGTCCCGGGGCGTCGATGTCGATGAGCGAAGCCGATACAGGCCGAGTGCGCGTTGCCCGACATACCGGTACGCCACATGTGTTGGGTGCTTGTCACATGGTTTTCGCGACGCGATGCACTCGACCACCAAATTACGGTTGTTCCGAACGCTCAATCGCCCGGTCAAAAACACAAGGTTGGCAGTAAGTAGCCTTTACTCGACACCTTATCTCTACCCTCCGAACCCACAGGGCGATACTGCAATCCATCGAGGAAGAGCTGAAACCCAACGTGGCGACTACCAAGCTAGTCTTGCCACCCAGAACGACGCTATGCACCGAGCCTGCTCTATCCACCCCCTGCACCAAGAACACTTGCAACAAACAACCCCGACACCCGAGATGCCGGGAAGAGGAGCAGGCAGCCGGGCGACTAGCCGGGCGACATAAAATATGTTTTGCAAGAAACAGTTACGGCAGTCGGAGATCTAAGGAATCCAGAGCGCAAGGGAGAAGCGTAGGCACTGTTGTCGCACATTTCCCCACCGCTGTTGCAGTCGCGAAGTCGAAAGCGCGAATAAGGAAGGCGACCAGGAGGGCTTGGGAGTAATGACAACGTGGTCAACTTCCTTCCTTCAAGGCGATGACTTTTGTCGTTGTGGTGACGAGCCCGTAAGTAAGACGCGGCGTCGCCTGTTGAATTCTACTAAACGAAGGCAGACTTCCCTCATGACCAGGGTGAGTAGTTGGGCATGTTATGCATGTGGGCGGCTTCCGTGTCTGCACGCGTGGAGCCAGGGGCAGGCGGACCCGCTTGGTTTGGTAGCACTCCGCAAGCAGTCTTCGGGGCGAGTAGCACACCCCCTTGGGTAACTTAACAAATCATGCGAGAGGGAGACGGTCGAAAGGCATTCTTAACGTTTCCTCCGCCACCGCCCGCCTTATCTTCGAAGCCTTTCGCGCACACCGGACCCTTCTTCTGTTCCCTCCTCACTCGCCGGGGACCACGGTAGGTCGCCCGTGAAGAGCTCAGTCTCGCACCACCCCAACAGTTCGGACATTTCCGGACACACCATGCTATATGGTGGCGTTCTGTGGAAAGGGTCCCGGGCATGTCGTTTTTGCACTAAAGTGCCGCCAACGGCGCAGCCATACGGGTCCGATCGGTATGGCTCTAGTGCCGACGTTCGTTCGCCCTCGGCAGCGGCAGCGTGGTCAAACCGCCCCTCGGGGTGTAATCCCACGTATCGGAACGCCTCCGGCGGGAACCGCAGGGAAGGCATGTGCAGATGTTCAAAGCGGTCCTCCTTGAAGTCGAACCCCACCACAGTGATCTTCGTGGGGTAGTCGCCAGTGATTTCTTTGAACCTTTGGATGTTGCCGGCAGGGGAACGGAGGGCAATAGATAAGAAGGTCGCAAAGTGATCAAATTGCGACGATGGGATGAAAAAGCTGCCTCCTCTTGGTTGCTGTATACATTAGCCGAAATACCGACGTCCACATGGGGCGTTTGGAGGTGTTGATTTTCGTTGCTGTTGTGTCTTCTTCCTGGTAACCCCCGATTGCGTCAAGGATACTTGTAAATCATTCAAACATCTGAGCGACATTTTTCGCCCACTTCGCGCACGCACTCGGGTTCAGAACAGATCGCACCAAAGAAACAGCAACAAGCGGTCCCATGTGTGGCGGCATCCGCAGGCTCTATTCATCACACCCGACCAGGTTCTCCATATCTTTCGCCTATCGTTCGCGCCAATCCCCCGCCCGCTCCTTCTGTACGGAGCATACACCAAACAGAACACCTGCATATGGAAAACAACACGTTTTCGAAGGAGTCTCGTGCAAAGTCCTCGGTCGAAGCTCTCGCCCTCAAGTCCGGCTTGCCCCACCAGTCGTAGTGGTCCGCGACGAAGAAATATGACTCTCCCTCGCTCTTCGGTCCCGCGGGTCCTCTTGTCTTGCCACCTTGTAGCAGCACCAACACCGGAGCGGGAAGCAGGACCCAGAACGCATCGAACACGAGGTAGGTGAACGACGGGAACACGTCAGGGCGCAAAACGCACGCGTAGTTAAACACACGTCGTTGTGCTAAGATGGAAGCAGAAATCAGCCGGAGGAAAACCACAACGGAGTGCGCACCGCCAGACCTCAACTCAGTACTTTTGTCGTCGGCGTCGTCCGTGAGTAGCCACGCGGGCTTCGCTCGTCATTCATTCGCGTACCACGACGAGTGCGCCACAGAAAAAGAGAACCGTTCACGACGCCACATTTCCGGGGGGGGGGGCGTCGCCGGTGAAGGACTCACCCGAGAAAAGGAGCAGCGCGTTCTCGTCAGCATCCAGCGCGTCCAAGCCACCCTGTATGTGCCCCACTAGCGCACGGGGGACGTCCTTCCCCTTCTGATAGTCTAGCAAGAACCAATCGCCGTCTCTGCTGTCCGCGCCCTCCAGCGATTCTGTTACCGTTACCCCGTGGCACGGCACCATTATGAGATGCGTCAGCTCTTTCGATGCTTGGCTGTCCACGAAGACCACTCGCGGCCCAACGTGGAAGCTGCAATTTTGTGGTGAGGAGGGGCATTTTACAGCGGCGGTTGGGAACGGGCAGGCACGCGAGGTAGTGGGCTGGGGCGTTGACTTGACAGCTTGTGATGTAGGAGCCACTACTGGTGTTCGACGTGACTACAGCAGTAGTGGTTGCGCTGTACTCGTGCGACAACCATGGTGAATTGGAGAGAGTGGTGAACCACGTGGTCCATCTAAAGAGAGCACCACCTGTAGCTTGTGGACTATCGTAGACCCCAGCAATCACAAAGATTCACGCGCTTGAGTTTTCTTGAAGGCTCGATTACCAGTGGCCTTGCGGCGGTGTCATTTTCGCTCCATGACACTTTCACGCTGAGAGGAACAAACGATAGTGCTACAGTACTATAGTTGCCATATCGGCGTCGTAAACGCCTTCACCCGCTTGTGTGGGTGGGTAAGTAAAGAGGGCTGTATTCGCCCCACCTCCCCCGTCTCGCGGAAACCGGCTTTCGGTGAAAAATTATGTAAATCTGGAACTAGGTAGAGGGTGCCTGCATGTCTCGGTGTGCTGGTGCCAGCAGAGATGACGGTTTCGTGTGGAACTGTGGTTGAAAATTATGGGCGGGAGTCCTAATGATATGTTTGGATTCCAAGATCAATAGCTCCCAGGGATGGCGCTGAGAAGAGGGTACTTGACATCAACAGGGTATGCGCTAGAATTCTAGTCTACTGCTGTTCGCGACGTGATGCCATTATAAAGCAGGACGGGGGAAAAGTTGGACGCCATACTCGGAGAGACAGCCAAGCGCTCGCGGCGTCGGAACAACAGAATAGGAGAAGTTTCAATCTCTAGAGCAACACAGGTTGGTCGTACAGGTGTCATTGGCAGCCTCCAGGATAGCCCTACTTGTAAATTGAGGGCCCAGTGAGACATGGAAGGTCTGAGACTACTGCGGCATGTTCACACGCTCCACTTACCCCACGCTTACTCCCAAGTACCGGCGTTGTGAGAAATTCGTCCACCTGTGTGTTTTTATTTCATTTTATTTTTCTTCACTTCTAATCAGCGCTCACAGCACTAGTGCCGTTTACTCCAACCCGTGGTCACACAGAAGAGCCCCTCTCTACCCTCCCCTCCTGCGGTGCTTTGCCTTCGATTTTTAATGCGAGAAGAGTTCAGCACTCTCTTCCCTCTGTGTACACACGAACTAGCGCTATCCACTAGGCCAGGAGCGGAAGCGAGAGAAAAACTCACTTTGCAAGAAAAGCTCGCTTACGCCGGGATTCGAACCCCTGACCTGGCCTCTAAAAGGTTTCGAGGATACCAACTAGACCACCGGGGCGACCGTGTATGGTAGCTGTGGAGTGGCAGCGTAGAAGCTTCGTACTTCGCTCACTACATACAGATAGCGCCTGTGCCTCTAATTCTGGCGGGGGTTAGGGTTCTTAGCTTTCCTCTCGTGGGCTACACATGACCGCTGTAAAGATACGTGTAGGGTTCTTCACCGGGCTCACAAATGGTGTTCGAGTTCCTAGATTTCGAATTTTTCAAGGCAATATCAATTTCTTAAGGGGTCGAAAGAACAAGTGGTTTTCACGCTGGCTCTTTGTTCATACTTAAATCCAATACAAAGAAAGAAACAACCTTACCGCTGGGGTTAGCTGTTGCGTTCTACTGTCATCAGTAGAGGACACCATTGTCACGGCAGCAGAACGGGCACTCAAATACAAAGATCCGGTCGTCCTTGCGGTAGACCGGGGAGGGCTAGGGTATGTCTCAAAGATACCTGAATCAAATGCGGAGCCTCCTCATGGCTCCGCACAACTCGTGTTTAGACCCTCAACACGTCCAAACTCAAGAAGAGGAACCTATGCTAATTGCTAAGAACGCACCACTTGTGATCACCAACGACTTTGAGTCGATGTACCTCGATAGATCTTACCATAATTGCTGTTGAATCAGTTAGGTATAGGTCAGGTCGTTGGTAGCTTGCATAGCTAGCGTTCCGAGTCGTTCATTAATTATAGGTAGATTTGGGTCACCCTATAGCTAGGTCACCCCCGAACTAACTTGAACCTTAGCCAGTAGACGTAAGGCTATACGATAGGTAAACTACCTTAGATACGTAGCTGTAACACTGCTGCGACACCGTGAGGAGGACTCGTGCGTGCTGGCACGTTCAGGTTTGCTGTACTGGAGCTGAAATATCGAAGGTCGCAGCAGCCTCTGAAAACAGCCCTAAATCTTCGTCGGAACCAAGCGGAATGCAACATTTGTCAGCAGTAGCTAGTGGCATCAGTTACTCTGTAAGCCCGCAGTTCAGGAGATTGGGGCCAGTGGCGGCGAGTACAAGCAGTAGAAGACGCTGGGTGTCGGTCTAATTTGTGGAGATTTGCGGAGATAGGCCACTGTTTACTACGGCCCTCGATATTTCAGCTCCAGCAGCAAACCTGAATGTACCAGCACACACAACGCCTCTTCATGGTTTCCTCTACTGATGACAGAAGAACGCAACAGCAAACTCGCAACACCGACCTTATTTGAGCGCCTGACTTGAATTTAGAATTATGTGAATTTTTATCTTGATTTCAAACGAGGCGTGTGGAGGTAGACGCGCGAAAGATATGTTTTGACCAGCCTCTACTGCCGCCCTGTGCGAGAATCGCCAGTTTCCGTTTTCGCGATGCCTTCGGACGGGTCCTGTGTGTCTGCTGTGCATTTCTGGTGCTCTTGCGTTTGTTTTCAAAATTAGTCAACATCAAAATTCTTTGTCTGCCATCCCTTAACTACCAATAGGAGGTCTATTTAGGGTATGTTCGTGACTCTTTAGGTCTAACCGGATGTTGAAGGCTAGGCTCGCACCTTGGATGAGACGCACACCATGGCCGATCCAACTCAACCCAACCCTAACCCTTTCACCCTAACCTACGGTTGCGCCTCGTTCTCGGAATGCGGAATGGCGAGGGCGCTGGAGACGGCTAAGGCCAACGCCCGACAAACCAGAGGGCGTGAAACCGCGTAGATGCGGTCCTGTAGATAAGAAGGGTCCTAACCGTGAAAACTACTGGCCCAGAGGTTGGGCGCTATTTGTACACAACAGCAGTGCTACAGAGTCGACTGAATTTTCAGCATAATCTTGGATGCACGCGAAACAACCCAAACGTTGCTATGCATACGTGACACATCAAAAGACAGACGTCACAGCCCGGTTTGCAGCACATACACAACAACAGCGCATTTCTTGCGTACCTCTCGGTAGCAGCAGCAGTTCTGCAGCGATCTCGAGTAAGAGCAAGGCTAACCAAGAGCCCCAGAATCGCCGCCGCTTGCAAGAGAACCACGATAGCAGCCAAGGTCAAACGAGGCATCGTGGGACGACACAACGCTGCCGTCGTCTTTGAGTTGGCAAGATCGGTGCCGCCCGCCTCCAGGTCAACCAGGCTTGGCTTTGAAGCATACATGGGCTCTACCCTGCGAGAGTAGGTCATGTTCGTCTTTCCCTCGTTCCTCAGCAGCCGTCGCAGGCCTTCTGGTGCAGCAACCCGCTGATGCTGCCGCTGCATTCAAGGGCCTGAGCGTGAATTGCATTTACTAACCACGAAGCATCGTCTCTGATACTGCCCCTTCTGCAGCCTCTACCAGATATGGCTTCCCCCCGAGCACACAACACCAGCACAACGCACGGAAGAGTTCTGTACTCGTGTGCACGGAGTAGGGAGTGGCGACGACAGACGACAGGGGATTTTAGTCGCGCCGCTTTTTCCACGGGACTGTCACGACGTCCCGCGAGCCGCGAGGTGATGAGGTGATCAGGGATCAGGGTTATGTTCAGATTTTGGGTCTATACTGCTGCTATCTATGGTACTGCTGTAGCTCGTTCAAGTTTGGCAGCGCAGTCGGTCGCCTACGGTCGCCTCGGCAGCTTGTTCGGTAGGGCAACCTCACTGCGATGCTGCAATGACGGCTTGGCTAGGAGGTGGAATTCCCACGAAGCTGTTTTTTTTTCCCCCGCGCATCAGAACCAACCCATCAAACCGACGGCAGTCGCGCTGCTTCGTGGGCACCTTCAACCCATGAGTACCAGGCCTATTACTCAAAAGCTAACGCTTGCAATCCAGTTGTCCTGTGAGGCCCCGGATCGCAGCTTCTCTAGGAGAAAAGTGAAAAGGCAAGACCACGTTACATAAAGGATGTGTGGGATGCGCCAGAATCTGCAAGCAAAAGCGATGGTTGAGAAGAAGAGACGCGGACCGCACGGAAATATTTTTTGCAGAACCTCGACACTTTGCTAGCGAGAGGGGAGCAGGATCGAGATGGAGGAAGGAAGAGGGCCATGAATTCAAATGTTCAGCTCCACAGCCAACAGCACGACGGCACTACTAGTGCGTACTGGCAAGCTGTTGTTGACGATCACGGTTTGGAACCTTCTTGGAATATTCTTCACGGCCTGTGCAATGGCCCGACCGATCACGATCATTGGCAGCCGGTGCCCGTTGGAGAAGATGTAGAGGTCGTATGCATACGATCGTACCCACCACGGCGATACACCCTGCCGACACCATAACTCCCGACTCATGGTTAGAGGGCCGCACACGACTCCAGCACGAGCGATGAGCACGGTTCTCAAAACATGCGTGTCGCTCTTGAGCATCGTTGGGTTGGCCAAGTCTCAGTCATCATGTTCAGAGGGGATCACAACCCTAAATGTGTCAACAACGGCTGAAGCCTTGGAACTAAGCGACTCGCTCAACAACTGTGCTGGATCAGGCGAGTTCGAGGTCAATTGGAGCGGGAACGTGCTGCTTTCACAGACTATCACAGTTCAAAATAGGACCGCGCTCACGGTGAGAGGAGTTGGTGCCGAAGCAGCTGTAATCGATGGGGGTGATGCTATTAGCCTCTTCCACGTCTTCAACGGGTCAGTGCTCATGCTCGACGGGGTGTCGCTCATTGGAGGCAGCGGTGTCGAAAGCGGCGGGGTGGGACTTTGCTGCTCATCCACTCTGCTTGCTGCCAACAGCTCTTTCGTCGGCAACTCAAGTCCTGAGGGAGGTGCGAAGAACTGCTTCGTTCGGAGTGCTACAGCAGTAATTCGATTTTGTGTCATTTGCGCCTCAAAAGTTGGTCTCTTTGCTTCCTTAGAAAATGTCGAGATAATGCTATGCATTCTAGAGGAGTCAAGAGGGAATGTGTTGAAAGACTTTGCAGTGAGTGGAGAAGGGAAACGTGCTCGATACTCCGCGAAGAGGTTTATCTTACAAACTGGAAAATCATATGGTGGATGGACTTTGGAGAATAGTTGGGTGGGGGAAAGGGATGCTCCGGGATTGTGTCTCGCCCCCCGCTTCAAAACGTCTACGCCGCAGTAGTGAATACCACCGTCTACAAGTAGATGCCAGATTCTACCTTGCAACTGTACTGCTGTTTGAACACGCGAATAGCCTAAGCACATATATGTGTGGATGAAAACAGTTTTCGGGAGGAGATATTGTCAGATCCGTCCGTAGCTTTTCCAGACATGCGATGTGGACCTGGGCAAATGCAACCCTACACATCGTATTGAATACCGTGTAGTGTGAGTTTAATGGTCATTCCTGCCTGACGTATGATGACACTGCCGTGTACAGAGTATTGGTTTAGGCCCATGATGGAGTTGATAGTGTCAAGTAGACTTCCTGACGTGAACTGAACGCCAGCAAACCGAGTTGTGAAACACCAAAACAGCAATTCGGCGTGCTGCGCTCCAACTCTTGCCGACGCAAGAGGCAACGCACTACGGCCCCTCCCGGTGATCGCAGTACGGCATATATGCTTAACCATGTTCACAGAGGGGGACAGCGGGAACGAGCTACGGAGGTGGGGACTACAACATGATAGAGGTAGCCGACAGCTCTTGAAACCCGGAAAGGCCAATCTAGTTTCCGAAGACGCATCAAACACCGCCTCGAGCGGGAAAACTCTACTTCTTTCTCGTTGCCGATATCCTTAACCCCCTTAAGGTAGTGAGATTGTGTTGCGCATGGCCGCGAAAGCCAAACTCGTAAGTGCCGAGTTTGTGAAGCAATTGCAGCATTCCTTCTTGTTGTGGACGCACTCCGCCACAAATAGAACACCAACGATTGCATTTTTTTCGGGCGCAGGTGCCATCACCTCTCGCGGCAGCACCATCTACATCGGAGGGAACACGACCTTCGCTAACAACACGTCAGGATCGGACGGAGGTGAGAAATCTGCTCGAGACCCTTGCGTGTAGTCCAGCATCGCATGACGCCAGAGACGGCGTGGTGTGAGCGTCTTCGCGCAAGTTGGCGGTGTCAACTTATTCCACGATAGACCCTTTGGCATCACTCCGGCCAGCAGCACCAAACCAGAGGACAACGTGCAGCGGAATCAAAAACAGAGGCAATGAAATCGACTGGCGGGCACTCGTTTGCGGGATGTGAAATCATGCTAGTGTTTTGGTATGTTGTGTACCAGATCCAAATATACTCAGCCTGACCGGTAAACATTGGTTGGATTTTACCGTATCAAACGAACGCATCGACAGCATGTGACCAACATCCATGAGACCTGGTGCATCCAGGCGTGCGAGGTTGTTGACGGTGCTGACAGTTTTTTGGCGTTCGCAGAACCCGACACGTCTGCCTGTCTTCACCGCAAAGGAACAAAATTTCATGGCGAGAAGCTAGCCAATAATGTAATCCAGATAAGTGCCTCCGCTCGGGAAGAAATACAGGTTGGTATTTAACTTGGTGGCCAACAGAACTGGCCCTCAGTCAAGGTATATTTCGTTAAGAAACAGAGGCTCAAATTTTCACGAAAAACATGAATATAGGGTTAAGAAACACGGTTTCAGTGGTGGATCCTAGACTACACTATGTATGACAACCTGTGCTCGACACAGTCGCGATGAAATATTAGTCTAAGCCCCGACCCGGTTTTGACGTTTCTTATCTCCGGGCCCGTACTGTATCAGTCCAGAGCCCCCCGCCGACAGTAGGAAACGGGAGGTACTGTAGATCCCTTTGCTTCATTCGGAAGCCGAGTCACGACCTGAATGCAGGGACTGGAGACGGAACGCTACTACTACAAATGCAACATAAATCCAGAGAGAGAAGAAGCTATCTTTGCACCTCGACCAAGCCGGGGAGGAGAGTTCATCGCAGATTTTGCCGACCAGGTCAATCACACTCTGCCCTGGAGGTGTGAGGAGGGACTTAGATCATCCATCCAACTAAGAAATGAAGCACAGCAGTTAGTCGCCCTCACCATGCAATTCAAATCGTGGCATCCCAGTGCAACTGGTTGGTAACCTCGTAAGCTTCTAACGTTTCCACATGTGAGTTCGAATCTCGGCGCAGTCGCACGAAGCGGATTTTTTTCTGACGTGATGATGCAAACACTTTGGTGGATAGCGATCAGTTGGTGTATGGAGAGCAAGAATTCGATTTGACGGTCGACGTGTGAGGAACGGCTGAATCGTTCTCGCGAAGAAAATGCGGGTTAAGCATCGCCCTCAAGGAAAGCGAACTTCGTGGCCTTTCTACCGGCTGATTCGTCCAGAACCGCGCCGAAAGGCGGTACACTCCACGTCCATCCAGACTGCATGGGATGACAACAACATTTACTTTTGGAGTACGCCCCATCATGAAAAGTGTCGCCACTGGTATGTATCGATAGCGAAACACACGTGGACAACACAAATGAGCCCTTCAGGTGGGGGCTTCAACACCGCAACGCTAGCCAACAGCTCCTGGAACTCCAAACAGTCGTCGTTCTTTGAACTCTGGAAGACACGTACGAAAGGCCATCTCGAGCTGAAAACCGTCTGGCTCACGTCGTAACGGACGCGTAAAGCAGCGACGATGTAGCCACGAAAGCATCCTCACCGTGGACACAACCGTGCAACTGAAACATCCCGTTAAATGGACCTACATTCCCCGATATCTCGAATATTGTGGGACGCAGGTGCTATCAACTCGTACTACAGCCACTTCATCAGCATCGAGGGTGAAACGACCTTCGCTCACAACACTGCAGAACGTGATGGAGGTGAGGAATCATGTATGCCTAGGCACAATCCAGTAGTGGCCATGAAGAGTATCCTCAAAGCCGTTGCTGGACCATCCTCAAAACAAACCCGGCGTTCCTTCTGTCTTCTGGGCTGTTCACCGCTTTGGTGGAAACTCAATAATGGAAGCACTTCCAGGAGGTTGGATGGAAGCACTGGTCGGTGGTGGAAGCTTCCATTACATCCATGGAAGCTTCCATGACGTGCATCGAAGCTGTCACCAAAACAAATTCACAGACAGCGTAGTTTTTGCAAGTAGCGTGGAAGTCGCGGAAGCCATCGGCTACGCTTTCATGAAAATCTTGGAAAGAGTTTCCATGGAAGTGATGGAAGCGTTCATGGAGGTGGTGAACCAATCCCTTTGTGTTGTTATCCCAGGAACTCCTCACGTCAGTATGCTGCGATAACTCTTACAGCGGCGTTGGCTTGGACGTCCCACCTGGGGTCACACGGGAGACCACTCAGACATTTTAAGCACAATCATCCTCTATGCAACAAGCACGAGTCACAAAGAACTTTATCTTTACAATCGGATTCCACTTCTTTCAGTTTTTCTTTCTTCAGGCCGAGTTACACTTTCCGATTGTTCGACAGCTTCTTGGAATGGTGACGGGGGGAAAACAAAAATGGGGTCACTAAAAACACAACGAAAACCTCACCATCGACAATATGGATGGACCACGTGTGCAACGGCCGTCCACGTTAGAAGAACCCATGCACACAACCATCCATATTGGAATGCTGTGTTTGCGGTCTTTGTTCGGGTGCAGGCGCGATCCTCATATGGGGGACTAGCCTTATCATCGAAGGCGATACTGCCCTTGCCATCGAAGGCGATACTACCTTCACCAGCAATTCTGCGCAAGGGGAAGGAGGTGAGATAGATGTGTTGCGTAGGTGCGATCCGGCAATTGTGCGGATTGGCGTGCATGTCTCGATCAAGTAGGCGGTGGAAAAAGGTATTCTAGGTCAAGGGTTTATAACCACGGCACCACGTGGAAGAACAGCGATGAACGCCTTGCATTCTTAAGCACGTTAAAACTGCGCACATTGGTCCAGGTCCACGTAGGCCTGTGTCGATGGCCTCACCAAGTAGCATGGTATATTTTCTTGAAAGCGTTGTTGTCCTTTCCGACAGTACCATGCGGTATATTTTTGCTCGGTCTTTTGTCCTTGCATTCGGCGCAGATACGGTGGTTGGTGGTGGAATCATCGTGTGGAAATTCCGTCCTATGCTTTGAGACCACGCTGTTCTCAGCCACATCTCTGAGGCATCGGTTGTCGCTGGTGACTTGTGTGCGGTGGCACTTCCCACCACATCTGTACAAGTAACTGCGACACATGACGTACGTTGACCACACACTTTCGATCTGGTGCTTGTTTGCAAGCATCGCAGTAAATGTACATGCCCATCACATCGTTGTGAACTCTGTTGCGCGTGACGCAGAAGTCGTGTGTTGCAAACCGAGTATTCAGTCAGTATGGGGCGCTGGTGGGTAGATGGGGGAGGGTGGGGTGTTCGAGGTGTTGTCTCTCGCGGCCCTTGTCTCCGAGATGCGGAGTACCTTCTTGCGTGCAGGACCCTAGCCCAGGCTTCGATGTTTGCCAAGGCACGTGAAACAAGCCATCCTACGTCGCCGGGGGTCCCGGAGGCAACCGTAGTGCATGGCGCAGAGCCGGAAAACGTACGCACCACCACCGCAGACTCTCCCATTCCAGATGAGGCACGTTGACCCGCGAAATTAAACATGCAGCAAATGTGCATCAGCGCAACGCAACCTATCCTTTTTAGGCATCTACCACGTTACACTGAACTTCGCGACAAATCGAATGCCGTGTTCTTTCATTTTCGGGCGCAGGTGCTATCCACTCCAGATACGGCCATGCCATCATCATCGAGGGCGAGACAACCTTCGAGGACAATACCGCAACAGAGGGTGGAGGTGAGACAGAAAGCACGCGAAGGCGCAATGTCAGCAGTGCCCCTTACGGGTGAATCTCATGGCGATTGTGCTACTGCTGGACTGTCGTTGTGCGAGGTAACTCCTTGAACCTATCTGCGTGTCGCGCAGAGACTGTCCCAGTCAAGCTCACGTGGGCCCTAGGACTGCGTGGCTCATGCAGTGGAGCCTCCAACTTCTGAGCAACAGTTTCATGATAAGTCAGTGCGCAGATTGAATCTAACTCCCAGGTTCGATGGCGTTGTTGTGATTTTTTTCGCGTGTTTTTTTCCCTCGAGAAAAGGCACACCATGAAACTGGGCGCAAAGTCCTTGTTCGTAGCATGTATTTGTCCCACGCGACTTGGAGACCAAAATCCAACAACTTTAGAGTGCTCATGGCGGAGACCGAATGCACTTGCGCCTCGAGCCTATCAGAAGCCTACCTCGCACATCTTGCGGCATGAACAAACTCCCCCACACAAAGAATCTGGCCGAGGGTGCTATCGTACCTGGGATACCCTCGAGGAATCGAGGATCCAGTCCGGGCAGCACGGGCACCCGCTTGCCGCGAAGAATATTGCGAACAGCCCCTGGGACACAGACAAAATAAAGTCGATCGAGGTTGCGAAGCACAGCACAGACAGTCTCGAAATGGAACTATTTGTTCGTTTTAATGCTTTGGAGCAGCGTGATTGTATACTGCGGGGCTGTAAGAGCTCTAGGACAGTATCTTCACGCGCTGTAGGTTGTCCCGCTCAGCGCGGCATATTCGATGTGTGTGTTTCCGTCCGGTTACATAGGAACGTTCTGATGTACAATGTTGTAGTCCGCAGCATCCCGCCATGTGAAGCTACACTCAGACATCGCTCTCGTGCCGTGTGCGTTCAATTTTGGGCGCAGGTGCTTTGAGCACAATTGACGATGGCAGAATCACCATCGAGGGCGAAACGACCTTCGCTCATAATACTGCAGGTTTTGGAGGTGAGACAAAGTCGACGGAAACGCACCCTCCACCGTTGACCATTCCGATGGAGGGTATGTGGACATGGTTGCTGACCACCCTCGTGAAAGACGCATTTTTCAATTCTTGAGAACAACGAGGAAAACCCTCAACAGGCGAGTCAAGCTCACGAAAGCCGTCCTGTCACAATGTTTACGGCAATGGGCAGTATGCCCAACGCTGTATCGACGAGAATGAATCCGAGACTCAAGGGAGAAACGCTGTCACACAGTACACCACAACAGTGTGTGTTTGCGATGAACTTCCGAAGATACATATTTTCGTCACAACCAAAGGGTAAGGGTCCCATCACTACCCGTTTGGGCCGTCCTTGATTGTAGACGTAGACAACGTCAAAATCGTCTGGAAACAAGCACTTTAGAGCCGCCACTTGCAGCCTCGGGATCAATGAGAGGAAAGCAAGAGGCTGGTTATCGGGGATCAATATGAACCAGTTTAGTCTTTCGGATATCAAGGAGAACAGGTGTTTCGGAAAGCTTACCTTAGAAAACTGAGGGCAGACGAGCTCCTGAACGGCTTCTTCGCACTCTAAACATAGTCTAGGACGTTATTAGGCGCAACAACGGCGCCCATAGCAAGAAGAACGGCAAAAGATACTAGGTTCGAACAGTAACATATTTGTATTCCAGCATAAAAGAGAGGTTTTGGATAGCGTTTCAGACACCAGGTTATCGTGAAAAGGGGGCGTTGAGAGATATAATCCTCTTCTACATTACCCCCTCCCCCCCCCGCGCCAAGTGGAGGCGAATTGGGCAAACAAGAAGAGGGGTAGACAACCCACGGAGTGGGTCAAGGTTGTAGATGACGTATGGAAGGGAATCAAAATCGACGAAGTTGAAACGCTGGAAACGGAAGGTCTAGAGGGGTACAAGAAGAAGATACCTGTTGCTTTTGCCAAGAGAGAAGAACAGAATCTATGACAAGAAACCAAGGGTAAGGAGGGTCTGGAAGTGTACGGAATGTTGAAAGAAGGAATAGGGTTCAAGGATTACCTGCAGGGACAAAGCTTAAGGTCAAATTCAGGACCGCGGACATTGGCCTCCGAGAACGTTGACGAAGATGTCGGAAGTTTGACGATGACGACGACAAGTTCAAATGTAATTGCGTCTCCGAGTGCGAAGACCGGATTCATGTAGTTGCGGAGTGTTCGTTGTACAAGAAGGAGAGGGAAGTGTACATGACTGAGCTGGGAAAAGTAGAAGGAAGGTACAGGGAGATGTTTGAGGCATGGGATAGCCAGGAGAAGACGATAGTTGTACTCGGGCATAGGGAGTGGGTTGAGAAGGCGAGAAGTGACACCGATAGGATAGATATGTAGACTAGGGAAGACATTTTTGAGCCACCTTTGGCGAAGGAAGGAACGATTTTTTTTCTTGTCTTCGCTTCGAATCAGCGCTCACAGCACTAGTGCCGTTTATTCCAACCCGTGGTCACACAGAAGGGCCCCTCTCTACCCTCCCCTCCTGCGGTACGTTGCCTTCGGTTTTTAATGCGAGAAGAGTTCAGCACTCTCTTCCCTCTGTGTACACGTGTACACACGAACTAGCGCTATCCACTAGGCCAGGAGCGGCGGAAGCGAGAGAAACACTCACTTTGCCAGAAAATCTCGCCTACGCCGGGATTCGAACCCTTGACCTGACCTCTAGCAGGTTTCGAGGATACCAACTAGACCACCGGGGCGACCGGTTGTTGGCCATCGGTGATCGGTCGTGTGGGAACAATGCTCCGTCCTCTCGCGTGGTCGATGGTAGAACCGCTAAGGCATGCAAAACATAAGAGTACCCCCCCCCCCCCCCAGTTTAGGAGTTCTATTTTGTGTCTGCTAGAGAATAACAAGGCTTAACGGGGTAACCGGTGCTCGACCGACTGGGGGCGCGGCGGGTCGATGCTCTTCTTCAAACTCTTCTAAGCGTTGTTTTTCGTTGTTGCACCCGTCAGTAGAAGTCCCACAAATTCGATGGTTTTTTTTTTGTTCCCCACCACTTACAGGCGGGAGGCGGAGTTGAACCTGTGAAAATTGCCACCAGAATCAGGCATCTTACCGCGTCGTTCAAAGAAAGAAGGAATCAATCGCCTTTGAGAGACATTGGGTAGAGGTGGCCCTTTTTCACAGGCCGTCTACGTAGAATTGTTTATTTTATGTATGCCAGAGGCGTGTAGAAGAGACAGGGTCGTTCTTCGCCGTCGACGGAATTTTCGTACGGGGGTTGCCAACAACACTGCCTGGCTAGATACACACGAGACATCGTCCTGTGGGTCTCTTCGTAGCTATGTGTAATGGGTTTGAGCCCGTGATTCTCTCTCTTGATTTTCTTGGGCGCCGGTATTTCCCGTTCTGTCTACCGTTTGTGCCTAGAACCCAGGTATTTTACCGTTTTTCTTCCTCTCCTCCCGCTCTCCTTGTGTCTTCGCTCTCCCCGCTCCAACGCACCCCGCCACCTGACTCTGTATTATGCCACCTGTTTCGTACTAACTTTGTCACCAACTGCCTTCTCTGAACTTCGCTGCACCCGAGACCCAACCAAGCGTGTGTGTTTATTGATCGCCGAACGCATTCCGTTGGACAAACACGTTCGTTGAAATCATCGATGCACACAGGACACGCATAGCGGTTTCGCTATTGCCGAGGCTTCCCATCACCCATCCATGTACTCGTGATGCCGCGGCTGAGAGGCCGTGTTGTAGCCACACGTTACATAACTGTCGAAACTATTTTGTGCGCCGCGGTACGTTGTTGCGTCCCTTCCCCAAGGTGCGGTTTACTTGAGCAATTCCAGCCTGAGCGTCAACGGCACGGCGGAATGGACCAGCAATGCGGTCTTTCCGAACACCTCTGCTACTGAAGAAGGCACTGATGGAGGTGATACGTTTCCCTATTGTCCGTTTGGTTGGATTTGTGTCAACACCATTGATCGGGCATGTCATGTAGTAGCACGGCATCGTGGAGCAGGGCGGGACGCTCGCTTGGGTGCCGCATGTGGCGAGCGCTATTTTCCGCTCCCAAAGAGCTATTCTATCCTTCTATGTAAAGACAATCTCCTCGGTGAATGTCGCTCCTTTCAGCCTCCGCATGGAACCAGACTCATTGCATTACAGCAGTGCCTCCATTTCTTTGTTTCTCTTGATTACATTCTACATTGATCTTGCATCCACGGATGGGTCCTTGTATTTTTTTTTGTGATATCGCACAAGTCCGGAGTGCAAGGAGGAAACGGAGAGAGCGCCAGGAAACACTACTTGAGCAGTTCTTCCGTTCTCAACGAACCCGATATGTTCCGGTCTGCGAGAACATTTTGTTTTTTGCTTTCAGGCATCCACTCGCTCAATTAAGTTCCGGTGCAGGTAGGTTCCCCAACAGCCACCTTGGTCACCCTTAAGTCATGTTACTGATACATAGAGAGAACGTCGAAATGCAAAGCCGGGGGACTTTCACGTCATTCCCGGGGCAATGCTACCTATGACCAGCCTTGCCGAATACGGAAGTGTGCGCTGAAATCTGCTGACGGAGGAAACATGATGATCTATTACGCGGCATGCGCCAAACTTTGCGCGTTTGGCAAAAATGGAAAACGCCGACGAACTGGCGGAGCGCACGAGAAGTCCTACGTTGTTGTTGGATGGAGAACATAAACTTTGCACCTACCCCTCCATAGGTCACCTTGCGTCGAGATATTTTCTTGCTGTATCTGACCTGGTCGACAAATCCTCCCTGTTACTATTTGTGCCACGGCGGGTTCGAATCCGGGGCAATCATGCTGCTTGCTGTTTGGCAGGTGCGCTGTATTTGACCGAAGGGTCGGACGTCGTCATGGATGACGTCAACGCGTCGTTCACGAACAATTCTGCATTCGCGAACGGAGGTAAGATCTGGAATGCAAGGGGTTTGACGCTCCGCGCTCACACGTCAGTTTTCGATTCTTGCTGCTGAAGTGGCAACAATCACGCCCTCGACATTTGTCCTCCTCTAACCGATGTTTAGCCACTACAATTCCCCTAAAGAAGCAACTCCTTTTTAGTTTCTGCTGCATTGGTTTCTCAGTGGTCGTGAGTCACCGGGACCCCGAGACGTGTTTCCTAAGAAAAACATACACGTAGAAGCACCTGTAGGTCCTGGAACAATAGTCTAGTTCACCAGGTTGCAGTAGTCCAGAAACAACACAGACCGCAAGGGTATTGAGCAAAGGAAGCCCCCAAACAATAGCAAAGACGCCAGTCGTCGTTGCGACGAGAAAGAAAACTGACGAGCAAAAAGGGTACACGGTGTGCGATAGACAGCTACGACAATGACACATTGTCTATCGTCATGACACCCTCACACCCTTGTGAAGGTTTACTACAGGGATGCGTCACCATTTTTAATCAAGAACCTGCTTGAAAAGATCGAACTTAAATACTCAGTAAAGCGTCGCTGCTGGGCTATCCTGTAGGGGAAATAGAAATCGAGCCTTGAGCAACATAAGAGGTTCTTGAGGCATCTTCTTGTTGACCCCTGGTACCATTTTCCGCGCAACCTCTCATCACATCTGTCAACAAAATCTGTACTTGAACAGAGCAGAAATCGCCCCTCCTGGGTACACCAAGCGAGACAGACACATGTGGTGTAATGGCAACATCTAACCTTCGATTCTCCGTATGCGTGCGTTTCTTTTTTCGAGCAAGCTTGTTTGAGAGTCATCTTGCGAGACCCGCTCTTGTTCCTAACCATGCACGCAGTTGTATGATTTTCTACACGGCAAAGTGCCGGTGCAGCCTTCTCGGCTTTTCTTAAAGCCTCTTCAATCTCCCTCCAGCGGTGACTTACTTACGCTGTTTGTCTTGCCGGACCGCAAACGCAGGGGCCATAGCAGCGGCGGACGGCTCTTCTTTGACCATCATCGGCCCAATATCGTTTGTAAACAACACAGCGGAGGGCAACGGAGGTAAGGACTCACCCGGCAGTTGCATCGACACTGCCATGGGGCGAGAGAGACAAAGAGCTAAACGAGAGTGAAGAGGCAATGTTTGTTATCTTTTGTAGACAAGCGTTACTCCTGACATGTATGCTTTTCCGAAGAGTTATAACAAGAAATATGGCGAGGGCAACTGGATTGGGACGTTAGGAGTGTGAGCGGGCACGACAATCAGTTTTGCAAATCGAAACTCTTCACCCAGACGCTGTAGTTCGCCGGTCGGTGACGATACATAATAAGTTTCATGCCATGGGCATGTTCCAAGTATAGACTGTACATATTTAAGCACTAACTTCTATTGCGAAATGTATCTCTGTCTTGCCGTATGAAACTGCTCGTTCGTTCGATTGGCAAGGCGCCGTCGCCATGTTCGAGTCGGTGATCGCAACAGGACACGGGATAACCTTCACCGGCAACGAGGCCAACACGGGAGCAGGGGGAGGGATATATTCGTCTGTGTCTACTGCCTCTATCAACGGTTCAGTTTTCACGGCAAACCAGGCGGTCTGGGGCGGAGGTCGGTGCCAGTTTATCTCTGGGAAATACACTACACATGTACAGATAGATAGTCTGAATAGGGCCCTGATGTTTGTCTCTACGAGGGTGGCGATGAAAAACGAAGAACGAACTGTGTTCAAAATAACCTTGAAAGATGGCAGACAGAAGATCTACGTCTTCGTTGCTGCAAGCGCCATATTCTCCTGCAACAACAGCAGTGAGGGATACGCCGTTACGGGTGCGAAGACGGCTAAGACAACGCCCATGCGTTGAAAACGGCGCGGCGGTGCATCATCGATAAAAAAAGTGTTTGGGCGTCATTTCGCGATCAAGATAGCTTGTACTTGCTCGACGTAGTCGTGACGGAATAACCAGTCGGTTTATGAGGTGGTGTCCTCGTCAGCAGGCGTACGTTGGACACCTCACTAAAGACGTCTACCCGCTACGCTACGTGCTTTTGTTGGACGCTAAACAAAACGGTGATCAGGCATGGCTCTGTTTTCATCAGGCTCGGTTTGGAATGTAGAATCTCCAGACGACTCGGGACCCGCAAACACGACCACGTGTGTCTTCGAACGGAACAGCGCCGAAGACGGCGGTGCCATTTACAGCGCCGCAGGCTACGACATAATCAGCGATTCATGGTTCGAGGACAACATAGCAGGTAAGAAACCGAGCACAAGATCGAGTGGTACATCCTCGCATTAAGAAGAAACAAAAATGGTTCAAGCTCAGCTGGTCCTCAACATAGAAGCAGTTTAGTTCTTGGAGAGAGACGAACGAACGAAGGAACAGAGGCTGGCCGAGAAACTACATGCGTTTTTTCACCGACAGAGCTCCAGACACACGTTGTAGATGATTGTCGGTGTAGTTTACCTCGAGGCATGCCACGTAAGCTCTTGGGGTGCTCCGTGGCTCACGCTGACTTGGGTGCCTCTTCCCCATGTGCCAAGAAGATACAAAAGAAACGCATATATCCTACAGCGTCAGTGCGCAGTAGGTTAAGAATGTTTTAACTCCGTACAGCACTTTGCCCCGCCGTGAATAAAATAACCTCTTTCTGTGACTAGCAGCCCGAGGAATAATCCGTTGTTTCCTTTTCGCTGTGAAACGCACGCACGAGCTGTACAAGAATTACGCGGAAACGAGGGGGTGACGCTGGTCGTGGTTTCAGCTGTTGTTTCACAGATTAAACGAAGCCGAAAGCCTGCGTGCGTCCAAGAACAATGGCGACGAAGCGAACATGAACTACCTCTCAAGTACCACGCCGCACTGCTCACCTAACCCTTTCCGTCTGTTCCTGGTAATAAATCGACGCAACCAATTGTACCTGTGTTGCATATGGCAGTTGGATCGCGCGGGGCATACCTCCATTCCGGCCTCCTGGTTAGCTTGGCCGACACCACCTTCGTCGGAAACAGAGCCGGTGCCGCTGGGCTGGCTGTTGCAAGCCTCGGGATCATGGAGAATGTTACCGACACTACCTTCGAGTCCAACACATATTATTGCCAGTCTGGGCAGTATGGCTACGACATCAGCGCGGATGAAGACGAGGTAAATGAAAGTTACCGAGGAACCGACTCTTTACCCAGGCCAGCATACCTTATTTTGTGCTTTCGTCGAGCACACGTGTTTATTTTGCAGCAAAAAGCACTCGATGTGAATATTTTCGGCAGGAAACAATCTTAATCTTTCTCGACATTGTAGTCCTGTGGGCAGTATTCACAGCACGGGTAAAGTTGTGGAAATCACTCGACCTGTGATTTCGCAGCCGTTCTTGCTGCTGTCTTTCGCCTTGCTAGCCATGCCCGTCAGGGATTGAACGTTAAGTGCACTAACGCCCCGCCTCGCTCGCGTCCCCGCTTGACAGGTTTCCGGAACCTGTCGATTCGACGAAGTCTGTACAGGCTGCGCTGTCTCATGTGCAGAGATACCGGAGAGTGTAGTCGTCGCCAACGACGCCTTCGTGCCCATGTGTGAAACGGTGCGTATGTCTAACCAACGCGGCGGGCGCCGTAAGAGTCGCAAGGCGTGGTTCCATCGAAAGGAGGGCGAGATTTACGTGTTTTTACCCACTGCAGCTATTACCACCTTCGTACGCCTTGTCAATGCCGATGGAATTAGCGCTCCCAGCGGATAGCTCTCGACAAAGACTCCCCTCAGTCAACTACCGGGTGAGGGCCGGGTAGAGGCCCTTCCCCGTTCAATTTGACCATCCGTCCAAGTGGTTAGTGTAGATCGTTGAGTCATGGAGTATCACGCCGCAAATGTCAAATATCATCAAAATGAGACTCATCTGGCTGTCTTTGACCCCTAACGACTCAGATCATGACGGGAGCATCTGGAAACGCGGGCGCAACTGTTGCCACACTAGAGTTGGATCCTGGCTACTACCGCACGTCAGCTGATAGCAGGGAAGTCCTGCAATGTCACCAGGAGGAGGCATGCATGGGAGGCGTTGAAACCAGCGAGTATTGTGCATCGGGCTACGAAGGCGCATGTGAGACGGGCCAACCCCAACCAGACCGAGTAGGGTTAAAATAAACCCTGCGTAAACCCACACGCGACGGAGGATGTAAAGAAGGACCCTGTTAGTGTTTTCTGCTGGTGGTGTGCTACTACCCACTGCTTTCGTCTCGTGCACTTCGTGCACGTCGCTTGAAGTGGGACCGTTCGCGTTCTCCGACGTGTGTGTAGCTGGTGGCTATGGAAGGTGGTAGCTCTATATATGGCATCTTCCATAGGCTCGCGGGGTATTTTCGACCAATCAAGGTCAAGGTCGTTGCTTATGCAACGACCCATCGCTCTACTAAACTTTGAATCCCATATTTGGGTAACGTGCGTGGCATTGCTCACATCTAGCGTTCAACATTGACCGCCTGTCGACACTGGATTACTCCGGGCTAAACTTTCGGTCGAGTTGGAACTTGAACATATCGCAAACAAACCCGTCGTTCGATTTTGTTTTCCAAGACGGACAGTCACAAACAACACGATCCAAACACGCGTATGGCGGACGTCGCAAACCCGTTTCTCCCTCATTCGCATGCGTGCAGACTGTGCCGTGTGCGAGGAAGGCTACGCGACTGGATATCAGTACAGCTGCGCCAGCTGTGTCGGCACCAACAAACAATCCGCACTGGGTAAGCTCTTCCACATTGAGTACAAGCAGGCGCTAGAACGAACCACAGCGGGTGGATGACGACCCACGCATCGAGTTTCTGGCTGTTCGGACGTGTAGGTCTACCCTTGATGGGCGCGAACATACTTTCCTCCGGTTCCGTTGCGGAAGTTGAAGGGTTTGCAGGTCCAATGTGATCGGTGCTTGGGATATGTTTCGATCTTGTGCGGCATTTGTTGGTGGTGGGCTGCCGTTGTCAGGAATGAACGGATGCCAAATATTTTTCGAAGAGCAGCTGTTCAGGTCAAACAACCGCCCCGCCCCCCGTCCCACATGGCATTGTTCTCGAACGAAACAGGCATAGCGATTGCTTTTCTCCTAGTGGTTTCAGGGGGTGTTGCACTGGTGATCGCGAATCTCGTCAGGGTGGTGGATGACGACAACACTGGCACGGTATCAGCATGTGGAAAGACGCTCAATTCTCTCCGCAATCGAATCGCAAACGGCATACCTCTGACGTCGATCAAGATCGTCCTTGTGGCCTGGCAGATTGTTACTCAGGTGAAAAAGTTGGGTAGCTTCGAGTGTCGTAGTAACTTCAATGCAATACGTTGTCGAACTCTTTATGATGATCGATGTTGCCTCGGGCTAAAGCATGATCTGTGCTCTGGGGTATAGCTCACAGCAATGTGTGTAACAGGTGGCTCCCGCTGTCAATCGATTATGGCTCGAGTACTGTCGAACAGCTCTGACGAACGTTTCCATTCCTCTCCCCTCCGTTTCTTGTCCGTACCGCTGTATGGCGCAGTTTTCGTCGGTGGTGAACGTGGTGTACCCTGACGTCTACGAGAAGTTCCTGTCCATTCTGAACCTGGTAAACTTCAACTTCGGTTTCATCTTGTCGGCCTCATGCGTCGTGGACACCAACTTCTATGGTCGTCTCCTGTTCGCGACGATCGGGCCGCTGGTCGTGTTGGGAGCTCTAGCCCTGACGTACGCCGTTTCGAGGTCACGGAACCGCCACTCTCCTGCCGGGATACAAACCGCCAAGCACAAGCACCTCTCGATCGCGCTGTTCATCATGTTCGTCGTCTACTCGTCGGTATCATTCAACATATTCCAAACCTTCGTTTGCGAGACGCTCGACGACGGAGTGGAGTACCTGCGGGCGGACTACAGCCTGGTCTGCTCGACTGACACCCACACGGCGATGAAGGTGTACGCCGGCCTGATGATCTTTGTGTACCCTTTCGGCATCCCTGCCTTCTTCACGCTCTGGCTCGTTTCTAACCGACACGACCTCGTGAAGGTTGACGCCAATGGCGGTTCCACGGCAACCGCTAAATCTTTGGGCAACCTTCAGCCCATGCGAGATCTGTGGGCTCCCTACAAACCCCGCAGGTACTACTTCGAAGTGGTGGAATGTGGTCGGCGGATTGCGCTGACAGGTCTGGCCGTCTTTATATACCCCGGCAGCGCGGCGCAGGTGGCTCTGGAGGTGGTGTTCGCCGCGTTTTTCATCGGGATTTCCGATGTCCTGTCGCCCTTCGCGGACCCCCTAGATGCGTGGCTGTATCGCTCTGGCGCGTGGGTGATTTTCATCAGCATGTTCCTCACGCTTCTGCTGAAAGTTGACGCGTCGGACGAGGACAGTCAGAGCCAAGAGCTTTTCGCGAAGCTACTCATCTCGGCGCATGTCGGCATGGTGTTGGCGATAGCCGTCCAGGCCGTGCTCTCCGTGAAGGGCAGCCTTGTGGCTATGCGGGACCAACCGATTCCAATCCAAGGCTTCCGGCGCGCGAGCCTCGCAGAGGTTTGCGATGGGGAGAGTGATGCTGGCATCAAAAGGGCAGCACCATGGTCAGAAGCGGATGAAACCGGTAGCAGGCGCACAATACCGGCGTGAGAGTCACTTTGATTCACGGGACGCCTTGACCCGAGGTTTCGCTGACGTCTGGATATCTTACCACCTGCCTAGCCCACGCTGTGATGCTGCTAAATAGAAGTTGGTTGTCTTCCGTCACCGTCAGAAGACCACCACGGTCGAGCAATGTATATGGAGACTCCCCTCAAGTGCTGTTTGTTTTTAGCGGTAAACGTGGACGTTTTAAAACCAGAATCGATGCAAGCTTCTCCTTCCCAGACAACAGCTGTCGGCGATAGCCGGAGAGCATCGAGAAGCTGTGAATACCCTGGTTATGGCCTTGTTGCCTGCCATGCTGTGTGTAAGACTGGTGTCTGGTTCTGATTGCGTGTCGGTCTTCGTGGCAAGACAAAGAAATGTAGATACTCGATCCCTTTGTACCTGCGGCTTTATTATGTAGATATAATTCGAAGTGGCGTGGTGATTTGCCTCCGTGCATGAGGTCAGCCTGGAAAATATGCTTTTAGCGAAGTGTTCCTTGTCCAATCGTTTTCAATCTAAATATTTTCAGATTCCGCGTGCACCACATCGCACGCTCCGCGGGTGCAGGGGGTTGGCGTGCAGAAGCACATAAAATAGAAAGGAAAGGGGAGTTGAAAATGATGTGCTGCAGGCCGGGTATACTTCGTGGGTTTTTGGTAAGGACTAAAACATTTCCTTTGGGTGGGTGTTTGTGAAGGTTTGCGTTTGGGTACGATGGTGTCGTAGTTTTGGTACATGATAACCACGTGGGGTGGGTAGGATAATGATGTAGATATGCATAGGCTATTTCTATTTTGTCAGTATCATCAAGTGAGTTCCCTCTCGCGTCTTGTGTGAAGGGCCAGATACATTAGTCTAGAGGGATGCATGGATGTGGAAGCCAGGATACAGTATGTCTGATGGTAACAAGACACATATATTACACGTAATGGTCTGGATGCCTGACGGATGAGGTTCCTTTGGACCAAGGATTTTTACAAAGAATGACCCGCCAATGCTGCGAACATTCGGATGATATCAAGATTGACGACGGGGAGTGGTATGTCCACAAAGGTGTACTCTCGTCATCTTCACCCATCTTGAAATATGTATGTAGCTTGTCCGAGTACCCTCGGCCACGCTTGGCATTCCTCGCCACACACCAAAAGAAAAAACGAGCTTCAGCTGGTGGATGCTTACACACCGCCCTTCACGCGGCTCTGGATGGGTAGGGAAAGGGTATTCTCATCGGCGTCGACGAAGACATCGGCGCAGGTTCGGGTCCTGCCGACGACGCCAATGTCAGAAGAAGGAATCGTCGTTGACAGACATTGGGGAGGTTGTACCCTTTTTACGAAGGTGATATCTCCACGGGAGTGCTTTTCATTCTGTATCTTGCCTCTTGGTCAAGCACTACAATAAATCTGCAGTTCCGGCGAGGAGCTGCAGTTACGCTTTATTTGCTAAGTTTCCAATGGCGAGGGCGTGGTGGCCGGAATTATTTTCCACGCGTTTCCAGCGGAGAGGGTGGACTTTTTCAACCAGACCAAAATTGATTGTGTGTGCATCGCAACTGCTGTAGTACGTTTAGACCATATATCTAGACGTTAAGTGCCCGACAGAGTCCAGAAGTATGCCTCCCACTACCTTTACTACTCTTTCTTACCTCCCATATGACACAAGTTCCAAACACACAGGCCGTCCGTGGAGTTCTGCTACGAGAGGGTAGGATCGACTGGCATGCGACAGAGCGCGCGGCAAGACTTTTATCGCCCGAACCACGAGTCCGGCGTACTGCCGTTACTATAGGTTTGTAGGTGTTATGATCGCCTTTCTTTTCCGCACGAAAGAATGAAAGATTGAAGAGCATCCTACGTTTGAACGAACAAAGGAGGTCGACCAAACCACCATACGTACGACCCCTGGACCTATTTTCAAGCTCGATTACTCTGCAGCAACAACCGTGACGGTGCCGAAAATGGCGACCTTGATGTATGGCACCGTTTATCGAAACCTTTATGAAAAGCGAAGTATCATTCAGCTTTAGCACCCTCTTCGTTTAGAGTTGTATTTAAGCTTTGAGTCTAGGGCGTGGGGTATCTTGCGTGACCTACAGCGAGCGGCAGACTTTGCCCAGGCCAGAACACCCGCAGCGAACCCGACAAAGGTTTCCCGTACTCGGAGTACGGTATATGGCGGACCAGAAGGTGATGAGGGCAAAGGCTGCCCAGTTGATCGAGGGCGGGAATCGTTGTGCACTCGACAAACGAGCTGTAGCTACTGTTGCTGCTGTGCTGCTCGTCACATGTATGTGTGCGCTCTCATGTGTGGGTGTGGTCTCTCTCTCCTGCTGAGCGATTGTTTGTCTCAGTCTATAGCAGCCTGATGCATCATACCGGCCATGTTCGTGCTCCTTGAACGGTAACCTACTCTCTCTCGGAGAGAGGAAGGCATGCTGTGGCGCCAGCGGGAAAGGACCACAACAAAGGCAAAGGAGCGAGAAGCGTCGTTGACAACCGCACAGCGCAGGATCGGCGAATTCGCGTACAGGGGGCTCGTGGATGCAGACTTTGCCACATACCCTTGTTGCGCCAAGTTTCTGCCCCCCAATCGTCGTTGCTGGTTGCTCGAGCAGCGAGAGAGACAGCCCAGAGCCACCGACAGCTGACTGGACAGGACCCGAACAGGGAAAGCTATAAAAGTGGGGAGAGGAGGCACAAGCGTGAGGAAACCCCTGGGGTTTACTACACGGCAGGAGAGGTATGCTTGGTCGCGTGACCAAGTATAGGGTCAAGAACGATGCTCCATCCGAGGTATTCGAGGCAGCGAGTGAGCAGGAACGAAAGGTGAGGCGGTGCTCCCAGCAGCTGTACATGCCATCGATGGCGTTCGTGGTCAAAGATATTGCCGGTGACGTTGTGTTGGCCGTTGCTGCAACGAGCTCGGTGTTTTTGAAGTTGTCGTCCGGGTTTTCTACGGTGGACCTCATACTGTACTGCAGCAGTGCCTTGTCCTGGCTCTGCCCCAACAGCGGTGTACACAACCTGTATCATGAGCGCTGTACATATCTCACCCACAATCACGTTTAGAGTAGCTGGAGAGCCACGGCCCTATGCAGATCGCGCAAGAGTTGGCCAACACAGATGATACCCTCTCCGTTCGCCATTTATTTCAAAATATTGAACTATTGGAACGCTGGGGCCTTATCCGCCGCGCACCCATATTCCCGTAGTCGGCATCACTGCCCTCATTCCAAATTTTTCAGGGTACACCTCGGTACTAGTTTTTTAGGCGGATCCAGGCGGGGCGGTACGTCAATGTGGCCGTACTTTCTAGGCGGTTGGCGGTATTTCGTTTTCCGGCGGTACCGCCTTTGGCGGTTCCCGGTACTGCCAATAATGGCGGTACTTTTTTGGCGGTACGTCAATATGGCGGTTTTTTTTAGGCGGTTCCCGGTACTGCCAAATACGGCGGTATTTTTCTGACGGTACTGAAATATGGCGGTATTTTTCTGGCGGTACTGAAATATGGCGGCACCGCCTTCGAGGGTTGCGAGTAGACCAGAAATCAAAATATAAAATATGGCGATGCCAAACTACATTTCGGTGCCCTTGGCGCCCCATCAACCGGCGAACCTCTTTCCTCTCTTTCAGGATGGGTCTCTCTTTGTCTCTTGTATGTACGCTTGAGAGCCTGCATCTCCCATATGATTTCGTGATTTCACGATGCGATGCATACCCATGGTCAAATCGAGCTGTTCATGGACAAACGAAAGGCAACCAAAAGAAGAAAGAAAATGCAAAAAGAGAAGAGCGCGCCAAAACGCGATCCGTCGAATGCCACGGGTGTGTTCGAACAGCTGACGATCGGCGACAGATGAAAGAGGTTCCGCCGAAAAGGAACAAGGTAGAACCAAAATATATATATATATATATGTATGACGAAAGAGAAAAAGAAAAAAGAATTAATGTGAACAAAGACACACGCCAGTTGGACTCGAACCACTGTTCTGCGCGAGACATGGCATTGGAGTTAGTGCCCTATGCTACTTTAGAGGGCAAAACTGAAGTATGGCGGTACCATTTTGGCGGTACTGCAGTACGGCGGTATTTTTTCGGCGGTACTGCAATATGGCGGTTCTCTTTTGGCGGTTCCCGGTACTTCGTTTTTTGGCGGTACCATTTTGGCGGTACTGCAGTACGGCGGTACTTTTTCGGCGGTACTGCAATATGGCGGTTCTTTTTAGGCGGTTCCCGGTACTTCGTTTTTTGGCGGTACTTTTTAGGCGGTCGGCGGTTTTTCGTTTTTCGGCGGTACCGCCTTCGGCGGTTCCCGGTACCACCGAATGTGGCGGTAATTCCCGCCAGTACCGGGACCGCCCACCACGGCGGGAAAAAAACGGCGGGAATTTTCCCGAGGTGTACCCTGAAATTTTTCAGTTTTGTTCCCCAAAGGCCGGCCTCTTTAGCCTGAAGTAGATACATACCCCTATCATACGATCCTGCCAAAACTGAAACTTTAAGCCTTAAAATGGGCTCTCAGGTGAAGTGCAAGAAAGTCTGAGAAAGATGGTCAGAAACAAGCAGTAACTCACGTCGGCACTCGGTGCTCGCTCACAGAGACCAGTTCGCGAGCAAACCTTCGAGAATGCATTTTGCTGTAAGGCTTCCTGAACAAGTTTAGGGAGCTTTGTATGTACTGTAAGAGTGAAGTGTGCGCAGAGTGTGCCTCGGCTATGACCATTTCCAACTTGAAGTGCCTTGGATTCCCAACGAGCTTGGTCGAATAAGATACGATTTGGAGGTCCTAGTCAAACCACACGTGATGGACACACATTGCTCCCCAAACTTGGGTCCGAGAAGTCAACAGCAGTGAAGCATTCCGCCGCCTCGAAGGTTGTAGTGTGAGGCGAGAGCACCGCGTGCCAACGTGAGGCGAGCGGGATTCCAATCGCCTTTCGCAGACCTTGCTGCTCCGTGGTTGGGCTACGGAACGTCCCACGCCACCCCCAGATTAAAAGTCGGAGAAATTCATCATAGCCTAAAAGCATGTCTTCCCAGCCAGGAATTGCGCTCCGGCGCCCCCCAATGCCTCTGTGCATCCGCAATCTTTGACGTCTTGTCTGTCTTGAGGGCACCGTGGAGATTGAAGAACGATGTGGGGGCAAACGTTTGGGGTGGAACACTAAACTGTATTTGCCCGCTTCAGCCATCACAGCGTATTAACCCCTTTGGGTCTAGGCTGGACTGTCAGATTTTTTTTTTTGCGCCAAAAAACAAATTAGAGCGAGAGCGAGCGGGAGAGAGAGAAGTGCAGAGAAAGACACCAGTGTACTTCTGCACACGCAACAGCTATCTCCAACTGTAGGCCATGAGAGAAGCCGGCGACAGGGTGGTGGCCACGGACAGGGTCGTAGAAGGGTTGATGGGTGGTCGCGCTGCGGTCAGTAGGGCAGGTTAGCTGTGTAGACTTTGAAATGATCAGTCGTCTAGCTGCCTCAACTAGTCTATTTTCGGTATATTGTAAATGATCAGTCCAGAGAGGGCAAAATGATCAGTGAAGACCCATAGCTGGTGTTTGTACTTCTGTACTTCTCTGTTCTCTGCCCCCCCCCCCGAAATGTGCCCTGCCAGCTCTCTAGAGCTCCTGTGTTTTTCAAACAACATGCACATCCACCAGCACACACCTGTACCTCGTGGTTTCCTAGGTTCGAGCGAGGGTGGTATGTGTGGTGTTACGAGTGTGGATGTGTTGCTGATATGTTTTACTCGTCTACAGCAGTAGTAGTAGTGTTGTTGTAGCGTTCGTTGTAGCTGCTGACACAATGACTGCTGGGTCTTGGGAACGATTTTCAAATTGTTGGGAACCACGATATCCTCGATATCTGGGCTTCGGCAGGGATTGCAATACCCCTCCCTTTTGCTGCCCTCTGCTCTTTTGCAGCAGCAGTGGCTTCCTACGTTCGGGCGAGTGTATGTGTGGTGCTGCGAAAGAACACATATGTATGTATGTATCTATGCACACACGCGTTCATTGACATATGCATACGTTGAGAGATTCATGATTTGTCATTGATTGGCCCCATTCCCATTCCCGAGACCTTGATATTACCCGCCGCTGTCACTGAAGTCTCTTCATTGGTCAGCCGGTTGGCGCGGGTCCTAATAATCTAGACACACCTACCTATGGACTTGCCAATACACGGCGCGAAGGGCTGCAGGGCGGCAACTCCACGACTTGCCACTACACCAGCATTTGCAAATGATCAATCAATGATCAGTGAGAACGCCTGAAGACTCAAAAGGGTTAACGGTTCAGAATGGTTTGGGCAACTCTGGTGTCAACCAGTACACGGGCCACGCGAGAACCTCCGCCCACCACGTGCTCACGCTTCCCACCCCATTGTCGTGGCCTCCTCGCCCTTCAAATCGCAGGACCGACTCCTCCTCAGCTACGCCGAGCGCGTCGAGAAGACCCTGGACGTCAAGGCGGTGCAATCAGGCGGTGGACACACGAACGAGCTGGTGTTCGACCTCGTTGGCGTCGACGCTTCCATCGCGAACGCTCTCCGAAGGATCTTGTTAGCAGAGGTGTGCAGTGTTTTGTCGGCTTTTCTTTATGTGAATGCGGTGTTACTGCTGCTGCCACCCAGAGGCCGAAAGTCGGACGGTCTGGTAGCTAGAGATTGGAGGATGGTTTTGCCCATATGCGACTGTTCGTAACTCAAGGATCACAGGCGGAGCAAAACACAGCAAGCAGTTTGGAAATCATCGCTGTAATTTCGGTTCGACTCACGACCTCAAAATTAGATACCCGTCGCCATGGGCCCGAACGAGCGACTTTGTCATACAGGAAGCGAAATGTGGAAAGGGCATGCAGGGAGTACAACCACGACGGACGTGTGTGGGGCAGGACTTCAGTTGTACCCCAAGTATCTGGACAATTTTGTGTGTATCGCTTCACGCCGTACAACCAGCGGACGTGGATGTGGATGTAAGAACACCCCCCCCCCCACCCCCCGGTTGGGTTCTCCCTCAACTTCTCTGCTCTTGGCTAGGTGGCTACGGTGGCCATCGAACACGTGTACATGTTCATGAACTCGTCGATCATCCACGACGAGATTCTCGCGCACCGGTTAGGGCTGATTCCGATCATGGCAAACCCGCGCATGTTCGAGTTTGTGGGAGAGGAGGGGGGCGAGCAAGACGAGGCAAGTCAGTTGTTGTTTGCGTGTACTGTACACAGCAGTGTTTTGTCCGATATGCCGTATCTGTCTGCCCCGAAAACACGTTCCGTAGAGGTGGATTTTTTTATTATTTGCGCAAAGGGGGCTCTCGCCTGTCCGGCTCTAGCCCGTCGGGGGCCGGTCTGGCATGGTAGGCATGCCTTCATAGGCGATGTAGCAATCTTGTGTTCAGAAAGTTGCGGTGCTTAGATACGTGAGTCAGTTGTGTGCGTGCGCGTGCACCTCCTTACGGCATGGCTGCCCTCGACAACAACAACTCATAAGGTAACAAGTGGGCCAAAACTCATGGAAGGTCTGTCGCGCACACCAGTAAGCCACCATGTCGGGCTATCCACAACCCCTCAAACTTTGCTTTTGTCTTGTATTCTTTACGCGGACGCGGGACTCGCGCGCTTCGCGGGTCGTCATGCAAGCAACCCATCCCTCTTGCCCCCCTCGCCAAGGACCCACGGACGTTCTTGTGCTACCTCTATCAAAGCTCGTCCTTTGGTTGACTTTTGTGTCTGTTGTCGGCGCGCCCTCGTTCTTGCCCCCTCCACACCGCGCAACAGCCGACGGAGTTCAACACGTGCGTGTTCAAGCTGGAGGTGAAGAACCCGGCAGACCCGGCGGACATGCCCGACCCTATGCCGACGGGTACGAGCTATGCGGCGGGGCCGCGACGGACCATGAACGTCTTCAGGTGTGCAAACCCCGCCGTCGGCATCCAGTCAGTCGTGAACGTCAATGCGCCGATTTTGGTTTCTGGAAAATCGATGATCTGCGGCTTTGGCGTTGGAGTTCACGGTGGTCGGTTCCATGCTGTCGGCACCGCACCTATGTTGGGTTCGAGACGCAGCGATAACGCTTCAAATCCTCTGAGTTGCTCTCTTGTTCCGTGTAGATCACGGGGGACGAGTGGGAACACTCAAGGGAGTACTAATGTCGAAAGGGTGCCTCTGCTGCTGGGAATCAAACACATGGGCTCAGATTGGGTTGTGCGTTTGTGTGTGTGTGTGTGTTTTTTTTTTTTCTTAATATGACACAACGAAACCATCTCTATCATAGAAAAGAGTCTGAGACAGATTAGCAATGGATTCATAGCGTCAGAAAGTACCTGTATGTCATTTCCCAGACAGCATATCGGGACATCTCCCCTGCGGGTAACAGGCTCAACAAGACAGTTTGGTAGCTGTCTTGTGTGTCTCATATATGTTATGTTGGGAAGGTGCAGATGATATGTGTTAGGTACTGGTCGGGCGTTTTGTGTTTGGCACCCTTTTAAACGTATTTTCAATGTGGTACGTGTATGTACCGGGTATTTGGGTTGTATATGTGTGGATACATTTCGGAGTATGTGCGGACACACGGGCGTGGTCTCACCATTTTCTTACCTTTTTGTGTAATTTCGTGCTGTTATATCTGCAAATGGCACGGGAGGACATTTTTTTTAGCTCTTGGATGCAAGCGCGCGATCCGGGATGAGTTCGTTGCGCAAAGGATGTCAGCTTCTACGTGCTGCACGCAGAAGCACAGCTCTTTCGGTTATTTTTGGATCGAGTCTTAAATCTCCTACAAGACTACCTCACGAGCGGTAGCCCACACTCGCAAAGGAGATGAGGGTAGGTTGATACACCTCCAGTTATTGCCTGCTTTGCTACCCGCCGTAGCACGTGTCGGTACCGAGAACTGATCGCCTCTCCCGTCACTTGCCCCCATGCTGATGCTGGATCCCGCCGGTCAATCGCTTTCGTCGGCGCGTCTCTTACTTAGCGGTGCCATGGAGTGGTGCCCGCACGGGGATCAGGTGGAGCGCTTCGAGGGGGAAGGGGGGCTGCGGCCGGTGCACGATGACATCCTCATCGCTAAGCTCCGACCAGGACAGGAAATCGTCGCTGAGGTGTGTTCACGCTAAGCAACAAGTGAACGTGCCGTATCTACGGTCAAAGATTGTTGTGGGCATAGTAGTAGGTACAGTAGAGTGGAACACGGGTTCCTTGGAACCCCGCTGTAAGATGCGTACGCTATGGGTGTTGTACCCCCCCGCGCTTCGAAGCTGGATTCTCAGACTGTGCGGCCTGGAAGAAAAGAAGGGCCGTACGCACGCTCCACAGGTGGCCGCCGTACGCCCAGCGCTGTGTGTATCGATGTCCGTGGCGCCAGCTTTGCGCGAAGAACCCCTCCGTGCACATCTGAGTGTCCCATCCTCCGTACCTGTGGCGCCGCTTGCCATTTCCACGAAGACGGCCGCCCGGTCCGCCGCGTCCGTGTGTGTGTGTGCAATGCCGAGCTTTGCCGGACTCCCCCTTCTTGATGTGCCACTCTCCTTCCCCTGCTCTGCAGATGCACTGCAGGAAGGGCATCGGCAAGGACCACGCCAAGTTTTCTCCTGTTGCCACGGCGAGCTACCGATTGCTCCCGGTGGTCACTCTGAAGGAGGAGGTAGAGGGGCAAGAGGCGGAGGAGCTGGTGGCGAAATGTCCGCTGAACGTCTTCGACATCGAAGACCTGGGCGGTGCTGGGAAGCGGGCGAAGGTGCGCAAGGGGTTCTGACACAAACGTTGACCGCGCATTGTCCAACGTTTTAAGGTATTTTTCGTCTATCGTAAAGGATAGATAATATCCTCGACCGACATTTGAGGGCAGGCTGGGGGGATTCTATTGCCATTCAACATTGGTTGCTTCATGACCCTTTTGGGTGTGTTGCTAATCATTCCATCACACAATGCCCAGTCGGTTCGGATCGTGCGATTTAAAGGAGTCATTGACACTGAGTGCCGTGCAGTGAGCCAGGGCGGTCCCGGCCTTGAACGGCTGCAACGTTGTGGGCATCTCGGTGGCATGTTCGTGTATCGTACAAGCCCAAACACGCAGCATGATACGATATACGCGTGACGTAACACGCCATACATGTTCCTGTAGCCCTAACCCTTAAACCTTACCCGCAATACTGGCGCCGCTTCCTGACGAAGAAGTGGCCAGTCCAACCTTATCTGACCAAAGTCACTGCCACTGTTTTGCCTGCGCTCGGTTGAACATAAAGGTGGCCCGCCCAAGAGATTGCACCATGTGCCGGGAGTGCATCCGGGAGCCTGGGTGGAGCGATAAGGTGTCCCTCTCACGCGTCGCAGACCACTTCATCTTCGGGATTGAGTCCGTCGGGATGCTCCCGCCAAAGGTGCATTCCGTGTGTTCGCGTACGCCATGCGCCCTTTTCACTCGTGCGCACCGGTGTGATAAGGTGGTGAGATTAGGGTAACCACGGAAATTGCCAGCGTTCTCATGTCGGTGGCCAATGGGTTCCCAGTAGCTGACCCTTGTGCTCCACACTCAGACACACGGCGCCAGCGCCAACACGCAAGAATTGCAAAAACATTTCAAAGAAGAAGAGCGAAAGCACCAAGTAGGGATGCCCGGTGCACGACACGCTTCTCATCGCCCCCTGTGTGAACTCTTCTCGCCGCTGCTGAAGTTCCACGCGTGAAGAAATAAGAACCCGAGCCTTGGGGGCAAAATTACTTATTTTACTGTTTCGTGAGTTTTGTTCGAGTGGGGCTGTCATGCTTCGTTTTGGCAGGGTGGAACCAACCCCTGTCCCAGTTTTTGTTTTTTCGGAGAATTCCCACGCACGATGTGCCATGCAATGGGATTAACCGTTTCCTTTCACCACCCCTGCCGTCATTCATTCCCCCTTCGGCGTGATTCAGGAGCTTCTCAAGGATAGCATTCAGGTCTTGCGCCAGAAGTGCGATTCCATGATTGCCGAGGTGGAGGCGTTCGAGTCAGGGGTTGATTTCGACGAGGCGATGCCATGACGCGATTCAGCTCAACCGGTGTGGCCGCGGATTCATCCGGCCCCCATCGGGAGCGCACAAGTTTCAAGCTTTCGATTGAAATTTTTGGTCGGGACTCGGGGCGGGGTGGGGCAAGAGCTTGCAGTGCTCGGCAATCCGTTGGGTACAAATAGGAAGGCAGTGCCACGCCAATATTGTTGGGAAATGATTTTACCCACGACTTGACGCCCGTTTCTTGTAGAAGGTGACACTCCGTACGTATTTGGGGACAGCCAGGGATGCGGTAGGGGGCGGGTACCGTTGGAGGGCGAATTTTGAGATGCGTTCATCGCCCCTGAGTGTTTCGGGCATACTCGAGAATGTTCGGCACGTATGATCTGTGACTTTTAGATGTGCACGAACAAATGTCTCGAGTATCTCAGGCACTTGCGTACCATCAAGCAAAGTAGCAAGAGGCGTGCGCTGTGCGTTAAGACGTTAGCCTCTAAGAAAACGGTCGTCCATGCTTTACGGCACGCCACTCAAGCCTATACTGGCTACTCTTCTGGGGCCCAGCTTCCAAGTCTTGGTGCTGGTGCTGTGAAGCTCACATATATTTTTCCCTTGTATCAGGGTAAGGACCCAACCCCCGGAGACGAAATAGACGCAAACAATAACAACAGCAAGCAGCAGTTTCAAGCAGTGGCACGAACTGTGCGAAGATGATCATCATTGCCTTGCTTGTTCGCAAGATCGCAAGCCGGTCGGCCGCCCCGGTGTGGTCTTGTATTTGGAAACTGTTAACAACCTCGGAAACCTACTTGCGTGTGAAAAATAATGTAGTTCCCAAGCTCTAGCTTGGGTCTCAGTCGATCAAAAGTCTTTTTTTTCCGTCTGTGGAGTTTTCAGTAGCATAGCGGACCCCTTGCCCGACCGGGTCGAAAAGGCCGATCTCAGCCCACACTGCGAACCTCCGAGAACTACCAGCAGTTCTGGGTAGCTGAGACGATTTCAAGACCTCTCACAGTCGTTTGAGCATCTATCGCTTGCTGTGGGGCGATAACCAGTTTCTCCGTCGACAAGAAGATCTGCGTTACATCGTCACATCGGAACGACCAGATTGGTTGACTTGTCGTTGAGGGTCCTCTTTTTATAGATCTTTTTGTATAAGAGTCGTCTTCATTTTTTTCGCCGCCCGCGCCAACCCTTCTTTTTACAGATCTTTTTATATAGAGTCGTCTTCTTTTTTTCGCCGCCCGCCCCAAGCCTTGCTTGCTTCTCTCGTGTCCCGCGCCAAGCCTTGCTTGCTGGCTACGCTTCTCTCGAGATGCTGACCGACCTCAGCACACAGCTGGACATTCTGTGTACATACAGCAGGAGCTGCTTTTGTTCTGTTGTTGCAACTTTCTGCATGGATGGCTCTTTTGTGGTGCGAAAATTAGCATTTATTGTTGTTGTTGATGTGCGGACGAGAGGACGAGAGTGGTAGGCAAAAGCAGTACGTACCTGCAAATCTCCGGCAACTACCAGCAATTCTGGGTAGCTGAGACGATTTCAAGACCTCTCACAGTCGTTTGAGCAGCTATCGCTCGCTGTGGGGCGATAACCAGTGATTTTGTGATTTTCTTCCTTAGTCTATAGTGACCGTTGTACACATGCGGTGGCTGCTGTTATGCTCGGAAGATGCTGCAAAGGTCATAAGGTTATCGTCTCTGTCGCTTGGGCTGCACGCCGTGGAGATGCGCATTCCTCATTTTTTCTCTGTGCCGATATCCATGAAGAAAAGCAACGGCAGCACGGTTGAAGATACAGACAACAGACGGTCCGCCATACCCTTTTTTTTTTCTTCCCTTACATGCATGGATGGGTGGTAAAGCATCGCAAGCGTGTTGCTGCCTTACTTACCTTTAGTGTGCTGCGTAGTCGTAATTTGAGCGATAAGGGGTAGATGGCAGGACAACAATCTTATTTGCGTAGTGAGGTTTGACAACTGGTCGTTCGTGGAACGGTGCGCGTCTATCGCGACGGCAAGCGTATTGAGAAAATAGTTCGTCCGTGGTGCTTCTCGTCATCATTTTCTATTTCGTTGTCACTTCATACTTCATACCACAAGTGATGAAAGAGAGTCTCCACAGTTAGTTCGGAAACGGCGACTATATTTGGTTTGTTGCGTTTGTTGTTGCTGAGCACACATCGGATGTCGTCGTTCGTTACAGCCTGCGGTGGGCCACAGGGACGAGAGTGAGTGTCTTCGGTTAGGGTCTCGAGAGTTAATTAATGCCTTCTCTACGCTTTCTTCTGTTGATCTACGTAGTAGTAGCACCTGTCTCTGTGTCGTTGTCGGCAGCACAGTCAGTTGAAGAGACAAACAACAACAGACGGTCCGCCTTGTTTTGTTTTGCTGCATGCATGGTTGGTATGCATCGGCACGCGTGTTGCTTCCTTGCCTTGAGTCTGCTGCGTAGTCGTAATTTGAGCGATAGGTAAGCTAGATGGCAGCACAATCTTAGATACTACGTAGTGAGGTATGATAACCAACAGCTCGTTCGTGCAGCGGTGCGCATCTATGGCGGACGGCAAGCGTATTGCGATAATAGTTCGTCCGTGGTGCTATGTAGTCGTGCTCTTTTTAGTTCTCACTTCCTACAACAAGATAGTAGTCCACAGCTCGCACACGGCGACTGACTATATTTGTTTGTTGTTGTGCTTGTTTGCTGTTGCTGAGCCGACATCGGATATCGCCGTTCGATACACAACGTGACATCATGTCTGACAGCCTGCGGCGGGCCAGAGGGACGAGAGTGAGTGTCTTCTCGACAGAGTCAATGCCTTCTCTTCTCGAGAGAGTCAATGCCTTCTCTTCTCGAGAGAGTCAATGCCTTGTCTTCTCTCCGCTCTCGTATTTTTGTCTACCTCTCTTTCTCTCTCTCTCGCCTTTCGCCGGTAAGGTCCCAACAACATCGAACGTCAACCAACCGCAGTCGTTTCGCTTTTTGCTGAGTAAGAGGCTACCCGTGCATCCGGCTGCTGCATGTGAAGCGATGGGCGTTATGCCAAGCAATGGACTTGGGCCCTACCTAATATTTGCTCCATATGTAGTGCTATGTGAGAGTTTCCAGCGGTCCGGAGCGAGCGGCGACGGTGCTTTTCTTCTATGCGCTCTTTTGCCTCCTCCCTGAAGCCTGTCGCGTCTGACTCGTTTGTTCTCGCTTCTTTCTTTCTTTTGTTTTTCATGCTTTTGTTTTTTGGGGTCCCCCGGTTCCTGTGTGCTCATCGGGCATCTTCTTGGTGTCTACCTTGATTGTTACCCGCTGCAAAAATCGAAAGCTTCAGACAGGCAACGCGACGATACTCGTCGAGATGCCATACACAATGAATTCATTGCTAATCTGTCTCAGACTCTTTTCTATGATGGAGATGGATTCGTTGTGTCATATTAAGAAGAATAAACATAAAAAAACATCCTGTCGTTACTCTATCGATACCTCACACCCACCCCTACTCACGCCGACGCAGACACAGACAGGCAGACTCAGCTCTTTCGCCTGTGCTGTATCTGTTGTTCGTGCGTGCTGAAAAATGGTACATACAGCAGCAGCTTACCGCAGCAGGAGCTGCTTTTTGCTTGTTTGTACAGCTTTTCCTGCAGGGATGGCTCTTGTTGTGCGGCAAGTTGCATTGTTTGTTTGTTGATGCGGACGAGAGGACGAGAGTGAGTGGTAGGCAAAAGCAGTACGTACCGTGTTAAAGGGACAGACAGAGTGCCTACCGTGTGTATGTAGACGTTGCATTTCGTGATTCCCGAGGATCGGATGTATGTGTTGTTTTTTTATTGCGTACCCGCGTCCATCACGACCATTATTGCGTAGTGTGTCGGCTAATTAAGGTCCTTCCCGTTCGTGGTGTCAGCACACGCGCAACACGCGACTAAAATAAAAATATAAAGCTTGGGACTAGCAACGCCGACGATATTCGTCGGCTTGCTTTCAACAATATTGTTAATGTACTTGGCAGTATTCGAAGTGCAACTAAAATATTACCAAAATGTCGCGTGCATGTTTTCAGGGTATGCATGGCAACATCGAATCCACCAAAAACACAGCGGCCACCCATGTACATATGGGTTATTTGAGATCGAACACCGCCTGTTCATGGCCCCGGTGTGCCCCTACTGCTGTCACCCTGTCCGTGTCCAACCACATGCACAACAATCTACAACGGAGACAATCTATCCTACACTAGAAACTCCCCGGTTCAAAATACCGCCGGTCGCTGTGTGGTGCGTTTTTTTTTACTGGTGGCATCACATTCCGTGTTCTTCCAGAGACAAGAAGAGCAAAAAACATTTTTTATAGCTATTTTTTTTCAGAATTGCAAGGCGGACCCCAGCCCCGCCAACTTGATACCATTTGACTTCACATCCTAGATGTTCGTGTGTGTCGTATATGTACAAAGCCCGGGTTGTTTGTGTGTGGATTACCACGGGTGGGTTCCATCCGCAGGGCTTGGTCCGGGGATTTCTCCACTCTCTTCTATTTTCTATGCATACAATCTACGTACAAGAACCAACCGTACCAGCTTTTGTAGACTGACTCTGTGCCGTGTAGTTCATTCAGCGGCCGAAATGGTTATTTGACAAGTAAATGAAGTCTTCCTGCCTGAAACTGCCGTGTGCATGGTCTATATAAATAGAGTCCGCTCTCTCTTTGCTGCTGGTGGAGGCGTATGTCCCCCCCTGGTCGCGCTTCGTGGGAGCATCATCATCACGTGGGCAGAAGTGTGTGTGACACTCAACAATCCCAGTAGTACCTCTCGATCGAGCACACACCTTTGTTTTTTTTTTTTTTCGCTGCTGCTCGGCCAACGCCCCCAACTAACGGCAAAACAAATGAGGCGTGTGGTGTGTCCGTGCATCAGGAAGATTCGAAAAAATCAATGTTGGGCCATGCCACGGACGGAAAGACAGACACGCGAAACAAGGCCCACCGAACACTCTGTCCGGCGTTACTTGGACACCAGCTTCGGACTTCACATTTGGCGCT